GCACAAAAAAAGGGAGAAAATTGCGCAACACTTTTTGCCTTCACACAAAAATTTAAAATGAATGAAAAAATAGGATTTTTAAACCATCAACATTAATTTAAGTATTTTATACTGCGAGAACCTTTCATCATGAAGTTGCTGCTAATTTATTCTCATTTTCGTATGACTTTTATTTAATGACATTCAACAGAATTACAGAAAAATCTCATTTCATTCATGAAAATGGAATGAACGTAAATTTTGCCACAAATAAAATTATTTGTTATTTCTTCTTCCTTTCTTTTATTTCCCGATCTGATCCCCAATGTTAATTAAAGAAACATACAGACTGTAAAAAAAGTGGCACTCGGCATTTAAATAAAAATTCCATTTTCATTCATTTACAAAATACCTTTTTGGCCTGTTTAAGTTCTTTTTATTCTAATTGCCAGGTTGTGGTTTTCATTGCCCAAATATTCTATACATGCTTTTTGTTGTATACATTCTCTTAATAATATTTATATTTTCACTTTTACTCAATTTTATGAAAATAATTTTATTTCTTTGTATATGGTCTTTAATTTCTCCTTCGTTTTATAGTCATTCAGGCGTACACAAAGGAGAAAAGAAAATATAAATTTCTAAGGCTTTTTCACTTATTCAGCTTTAACTGATGATGGGTGTTGAGTAGTGTAATTACACTTGATATTATTGATAAGGGGAAAATAATGGAAATTTTCGTACAATAAAGTAATCAAAATTGAATTGAAGTCAAGGTAGTTTCCCTTCTTAGTATAAAATTAATTTATTATTACGTAAAATTGCCTTCTTCTTTTTCTAAAGGTTTCTGCAATAACAATGATTTGTGTACCGAGTTTTACTTTTGATTAAAACATTCAGAATAGTAGGTGGCAAATGCTAAGAACATGAAGAAAAATTCAATATTTTCAGACGTAAGTTATTTATTTAAGGGTCATTGTTTTGGCTTCAAACATTTTATAAAAAATTTAATTTTCAGTAGATTTCAGCTAAAGACCCTTGATCAAATTTTTCAAGCACACAACTGAATATTTGTATGAAATAAATTAAACAAATTAATGGATCAAATTTATTGCCTTCTAAAATCAAGATTAATATACTCTAAAATGTCAACTGACCATTGAGCCAATGGGGTGCATTTTATTTTTCATGTTTATGCTCAAAAGTCGTTGACATTTTATTACTATTCACATCGTTTTACAAAATTTAATTGATTCCTAGACATGCAAGATTTAAAGCTTCTAATAAGTGTCACAATAAAATTTATGACCTTTTATTTAAAAAAAATTGTCACGAGAACTTTCAATTGAACAGCATAATAAAATCTGAATTCAAAGTGAGAATGCCTTGATCGAGAACAAAAGTTGAATATTTACAACTTTCTTGAGTACCAACAGAGAACTTTTCAATTTAATGTTTTTCTTTTATTTTCTGTCCTTTTGTTTTCCTCTCTACCTCACTTTTCGGAAGTTATAGAAAGAATATTATTTTTCCCATTGGGAGGAAATTAAATTTATTGCATCATAATAGGTCCTCAAGATTCTTCTTATACACATCTATACGCACCACTAGAAAAGGCAAGAAATTCTTTTGTCATGAATTTTACTACAATTTTACGTGAAAAAGGGAAAAAGAAAAAGGGATTCGTGTTACTGTCACTGGGATTTAATGTGAGTGTATAAATATATTTTTTGTGTGTATAACTGAACTCTCTTGCGGAAGATTCCTGTGTGAACGGTGGAGGAACAATAGAGCATGATTTATGATAAAACTGTTAAAAGATTTCTTTTTTTTTTGTCTACGGCAGATTCATATTCTACAGCAATAACTTCTTTACATCCCAAAAATGTCTTCCCCACCCTCATCATCCTTTGGTTCTGTAAAAACACATAAAAAGTCAAAGAAAAATGAACAATAAAGTTTTTCTTTCAGTTCAATATCATGAGGAAAAGCAATAAGCTGGAAAGCTGATAAAAATGTGAATGAAAAGTGTTGGGAACCAAAATAAAGGATGGATAATTTGTTGCATTCCGAACTTCTTTAAAATTTCAAAGAGCAAAAATGAGGGAATTCTCAAAAGGCATGATGTAGCAAATTTCTGTTATATAAAGTCATAAAAATATGATTCGGAGCATATTTTGGATGTTTTCATTCATTGTCTATGTCTGTATCGTGTATTCATTATTTAACTTTATGAAAAAATCCAAAAATCTCATCTTGAGACGAATCCTCTCATTCCATTAGAACATTTCTTACTTTTTTCATCTCTACAATATTTATTCGTTCAGTCATTCCCAACAGGATAGCTATTTTTTACTGTATACATGTACTGATATTATTGCTATTATTATTATTGTGAAGATACAAAAGAAAAATGATGAAGGGAATATTCATCCTTTAATAAGTATAAATATGAAAATTGAAATTCACTAGCTTGTTTTTCGCTTCTTTATTTGTATAAAGATGATTCGGAAAATATTCATTAAAATTTTAAAATAATCATGATGATAGAAACTCTCAAAGTCAGTACTCGGAAGTTATGTTAGGAAATTTTATAGATGGTATGATGTCTTATTAATCACAAAATTTTTTGAAACTTTAGAGATTGTCAGTGTTTTAAGGAGTTTTAAGTTGAAAGTGCTTTAAAATGGTTATTCAGAGCATGTCCAAAATATTAATCTCCATAGACTATGTTTTTAAAGAAATATTTTTGCAAACTATATTAGAGTTTTTGTCCATAATAACGAAGATAAAAAGATCTGAAGGTTTGTCTTTAAATGTCGCCCATCATAATGACTCCCTATGTCAAAAAAGTTTGTCTCAAAATTTTTCTGTTTAATGGATTTGTGGAAATCATTTACGTACAAACCCTAAGTTGTCAAACAAAATTAAATAGAACTTAAACTTCATTAGATATAAATCTTAAATTGTGTTGACTTTTAAGATAATTAAAATTGTAAATTTCACCATCCAGTTAGATTTAAACTGTTTTAAAAGTAGTTAATGCTAAATGACTGGGAAAAATTTCATAACAGAATTAACACCACAAAAATTTAACTTGAATTATTTTCTATTTCATTTATTTTTTCAAGCTTTATTCTTAATTATTTTATGAAACTTTATCTTAGCTAAAAATATTTTATGTTCCCCCATTTCTCAAACTTTACTCATCAAAATCTTCATAAATTCCATAAAAATTCTCTGAAAGACAAAAAATGCACTACAATACATCCCACACTCCAGAATGTGAAAGAAATATTTTACATCCTTTTTCTTCCTCTTACATTTATTTCATGTAGTCTAATATAAAAATTAATATTTCATATTTACTGCTTTCATCCACCATATCATTCCATGTTATTCCTCCTTTTTACATCTTTCCTCATAGTCGTTAAATTATGAGGAATTAAGGACTTTGTGTATCATCAAGAATATGAAGTTAAAGTGAGAGGAGCACAAAAAATTGTCTGTGTAGTGACTCGAGGGCAAATAAAGAGGCACTTGATAATATAGATAGAGAAGTAGAAGACTATGAAAATTAAGAAATTTTTACTCCTCTTGAACACATTTAGAGTTCCCGTTGTGAATCATAAACAACAGAAACGGCAAACTGTTATGAGGAAGAAAGTAAAAAGTGAGGAATAAGAAAGAAAACAAAATTCCTAAAAGGCATTAAAATGTTTCTGAATATTTTATGAATGGATTTTTCCAACGATTGCGTTTTCCACTCGATTACAAAAAGCTCAATGCTCTTCAAACACCATAATACGTTTATTCTTATTTATTTACTAACATAACGTACAAAAAATATTTTTTTCTGCTTCATCCACTCATTTCAATTTACATTCTCCTATCCAATTCACTTCCTACCAGTTCCTAGCACAGGAGAAAAATGAATGAAAAGAGAGAAAAAAAAAACTTTAGCACTCACATTTAATTGTCCCGAACGTCTTTATTTGTCGTTTAACGTGCCGTCGAAATTGTCATTTCTGCCATTAAGTGCTTTCAATGATCTTTACGCCTGTTCTTTTTTCTCATTTTGTAAATTAAAGGGGATTTCACTCCATCAGTACGATGACTTCCAATGAGTGGTTTTGGGGGGCACAGAAAAAAATGAAATTGAAAAAAAGGAGATGAAGAAAGCGACTGTCAGCGACATTCAGCTCGTAAATCTTAAAAGCCTCGCATGTACTCATGAAATTACTTACGACTCTGTCTCACATTTCTCATGCTCAAACAATTGTATACACTTTCATTTTGATACCATTTATCCCCATGAAATGACTGTTACAATTGCTTAGGTTCCCTTTTTTTTGTCGTGTAAAATTTTAAAATTTTTCTTTTTTCCTCTTTTTATTTCCTGTTATTTTACATTATTTTATTCACTATAAGCGTGCAACATTTGCGGAAGCATCGCAACACTTATTCATTCATTTATTTTGTGTAAAATACGACAATGCACAGTAATGATACAGAAATGCGATGTCATTCTGGATGTGCTTTTTGGTTCTGTAAATAAATAACAATGACTTTCTGAAAGATCTTTTGTGATGAATTTTGTCTTTTGTTACAAAATCTTTGTCGTCTGAACTCGAAAAGCGCTCGAATTTCGGAATATCTAAAATTTTATAAATTCTTACTCGATATCAGTTTCTATATAGTCAGGAGAGAATTTGCATAAAATGTGTTTAAAAATGAAATATTAAACATTACATTTTGTGGATTATGTTGCAAGACATGAGCTAGGGGAGATGAATCCAGCGATTTGATGTAGAAAGACACATGCAATCTATAAAGTTAAATAATTTTAAAGTACTTTGACACATGCCACTCAACGGCATTTATGAAAAGCTAACAAGAGCAAGAATGAAATGTAAATTTACTTTGTTATTGAGGCGCAAGTTCCTTATTCATAATTCATCATCCGATGAAATTTTTTATACAAAAATATGTCAAAATATTCTGAAATTCTTATTATGTGCATAAATTTGTGTAAACATTCGCAGACAGTCTATAAAGCATGTAAATGAAACTTCTTTATTGAATTGGGGTTAGAAATCCACTGTTGCTTGGTTTACATTTCGTTTAATTTATTGGAAAGCGTCCATAATTACGAGCTTCGTGGATTAAAGCTATGAATCCTGCGAGAACTTCTTCAACGTTTGGTTTGATGAATCTTGCGGGAAGCATGAAACCGAAATTTCCGTAATCACCATTGCCTCTCATTTCTATGCAGATGTATTTATTAAATATTGAAAGGATATCATTTTAAAAAAATATGACACTCACCAACTGTGAACGAAATCGGAATTTCATGAGCTCCGTGTGTATGGTCTCTGGATGTACCGGTGGATGCATCTAAATTGATAAAGCTTATATGTTAATCTTCCGAATTCCAAGTTTAGTAAAGAATACTTACAAAGAACTTGATTGCTGCTTCCAACGATATATTGAGTTCCATTGACTTGAGATATGGCTTCAGCAGCTGCTCTTCCTACGTTTCCAAGCTCTTCTACTGCTGACTAAATATAGAATTATCAAGATGTAATTTTGGTAAATTATATAGTCAACATTTTTACTTAACAAAATTGGTTATTCACGAATATCCAATTCAGATTATATTTCATTTTCGAGCTTATAATTTAAATCTTTACTTTTCACCATGTTAAGATAAAGTTTATTGCCATATGCTAAAATGTCATTTATTTGATACTTACTGGAGGTACATTAGTGTGACCCCATGGATGTAAAAAGAGATGTCCATAAGAATGAAGCTATCAAGAGAGCGAATTAAATTAAATTTATGCAAATTAAAGGAAAAGTTATTCTCTTACGGCAAGAAAAGCATCAATTTTTTTTGCATTTGCTTCAAAGAAAGATTCAGTAGCTTGAGTCTCTGGCTCAGAATATGGATAAGCACCAGCTACAAAGATCAAAAATTAAATATAAAAAAACTATTTTTGAAAGTAGAAAACTTTTTACCGTAGGTATCAGTGCAGGGCACCCGACTTCCTCCTATATTACCAGTCTCATCAGCTGTAAGCCAGTTAAATTTAAAGTTTCTATTTCCATCAACGCCAAAACATAACATAGAGACTGCTGATCGTGTCTTTCTCCAATTTCTATTTGTCGTCCATGTGTATTCATAACCGTCAGGATTTACTACCTACAATGTAGTCATTAATTGTTTTATACAATCGAGTTAGAACTAATGAAGTAAGCAAATTAATTTACTGGTATAATGTGCCAATCAATATTATTAGCAATATCTGTAACATTAGAATCCGTAGATGTCAGTAATTCGTTTAGGATATATGTTGCAGTTGCTGCTGAGATCCATTCACGAGCATGAATAGTTCCTTCAATTAATATCGCTCTATTACCCTATCAATGAGAAAAAGAACAACAATAAGTATTAATTTGATAATATGTCTTCTTACTAACCGGCTTTTTTGATAAGGTTATCATTTTGATTGGTCTGCCTTCTGATGAAGCTCCTATAGTTTCAAGCTTCAAGATACCTGGATATTTTTCTACAAGGTTATCAAGCCATGCATATATATCTTCTAATCTGTAGTAATCGTCCCAGTCTATATCTCCAATTGCTTTTGGTTGTTTATTTCTCGGCTTTTGTTGATCCATAACACTAAACATGCTCGATAAGATTAGATAAAGAATGAATTATTAACTATCCAAAAATACCTTTGTAAATTCTCGATTATTAATTCAGATTGCATTTTCAGATTTAAAGTTATTTCCTCAAATTCTGAAAACTTGTGAGGTGGAACAACAATGTCTATTTGTGCATTCATTTTAGGGTACTTCCAGAAATTGTACTGTAAGAAAATTAAAATACCATAAATTTTCCCATTCTTGGAGCTTTTTAATTAAATTTCACCGAATCACTGTGCTCCTCAAGATACTTCATAGCATCATATTGTTCCGTGTTCTCTATTTTAACACTATAGACACGATAATTGTCAAATCTTGCCATCTCAGCGTGAATGGAGACGAAGAAAATTGCAAGTAAAGCCAAAATTTTCATTTTTATGAACAGCAGCAACTGAAACTTTTTCAACACTTACTTACGCTTTTATAATTAATTTCTTATCGTAACGACTCAATATTTTCTCTGATTTGAGAGAGCAAAACTGAGAGTTAGCAGTTTTTATGTTCTTTATTTTGAGAATATCCATCAATCATTACTTTATCTAAAGATTATTAATTAGGTAAAATAAGGGAGCTTATCAAGATTTAGATAAAAAGTAGAATGAGCTAAGGCTACTTTTAGATATCAAAGATCAAAGTCTTGAGCGTTATTGTTCAAAAGACTTTAGATAAATTGTCAATAAGTCAATATTGTTGACGGTGAGCTGGCATTTATTCCATTTAAAAAAAGCTATTGACGAAATCAATTGATTTTGGTTTATTTTAAAGATATCGAATGAATCAAAATCTTTGTCTTTATTTCTTGTAAAAAATTGTACACATCTTTATAAAATGTTTATGGACCTCCCAAGTATCCTAACCTCTTAGCTTCATTAATCATTGCTTTCAAGCCAGCAACAACTTCAATAGCATTTGGTCTGATAAGACTTGGTGGCAAAACAAATCCAAAATTTCCATAAACTCCATTTCCTCTCATTTCAACCGTGTAGGACAATGGAATTCCATGGGCACCATATGCGTGATCTGGGGTAGTTCCACTCGCAGCATACCTTGATAAAATATTTTGTTTGTTTTAAACATTTGCTTAATTATTAGCACAACTTTGATGCTTCTTACAGTACAGTATTGCTACTTCCAACTGCATAGTTAATTCCATCAACAGCACGAAGAGCATCTCTAAATGCTACACCAACTGATAGTAATGTTGCATTGTTTGGCTGTAATTACACTGTTTTAGTTTTGTTGCCATAAGGAGCAAATGTTTTTTTTACTTACTGGCATGTTTCTTGTGTGACCCCATGGATGCAATAAATAATGTCCATAAGAGTGGAACTGCATACAAAATTATTACTGAAATTTTTTTAATTTTATCAAGATTACTCACTGATATGAACAAATCAGTACTTCTTCCATATTGTGTAAAAAGACTTTCAATTGCGAGTGTCTCTGCCTCACTCATACTAGTAGCTCCAGCTTTAAATAATCAAATTCTTTCAAAATATGTTCAAATTTAAAATGGTTTTACATTATTACCAAAAGTGTCCTAGAAGAGAGCACAGATTAGTTTGAAGTACCACGGCATGAAGTGTTCAAACATTTTAAAAATTTGCCAAAATAAAGCTTATATTACATCCGAATGTATCCACCAAAAAAACAATTTTGTCCTGCTTTCTATTCCTGGATATAGCAGATTCCTGATTTGGGTATTCTGTAATCGTACTTCAGATTTTAAACGGCATCTTTTACAAAAACAACTTTTATGGGAAATTCTAAATGGGATCGTTCACTTATGACGTCCAGGGGGGGGGGGGGGGTAAGGCAGAAAAGAACAATAGACATTTCAGGAAATCCATTGTTCAATTTTTAAAAATTACCATAAATTTCGGACGTCATAAGTGAACGATCCCAATGGTTTTCCATCATTTCTACAATTCGCAATGGAATAAGTCCCCAAAAGTAGAACCAGCTTAATGATGGAGCAAAAAAGAGGACGAAATTATTTTTTGATTGATTTGACGTAATAAGAACTTAATTTTGGCCAAATTCTAAAGTGATTGAACACTTCATGCTGTGGTATTTTAGTCACGAACGCTGCATGGTGTGGTACTAGCTCCAAGACTTCCAGTTTCATCGCGTACTAGCCAGTTGTATCCAAAGTTTCTATTTGCGTCAACACCAAAGCATAAAGCAGATACTGGTGCACGAGTTTTACGCCAGTTTCTATTGTTTGTTCGGGAGAATTCATAGCCATCAGGATTAGCGTTCTAAGAGTTATTAATTAAAATTAAAATTGAGAAGTTCAGCTTTAAAATAAAATATTCTTACTGTAATGATGTGCCAGTCAATGTTTGCACTTAATGCTTGGATTGTTGGGTCAGTTGATGTCAATAGTTCATTAATCAAATATGTAGCAGTTGCAGATGAAATCCATTCACGAGAATGAATATTTGCTTCAATGATAATAGCACGATTACCCTATAATTTTTGAGTAAATTTTTATATCACTACTCAATTCCATCTGCATGTTTGTAATCATACCGATCCTCTGGAAATTGAAAATGATCTAATTGGACGGCCTTCGTGGGATGTACCAACTGTTCTAATATTTGTTATTGTTGAGAAACGAACATGCATTTCATCAAGCCATGCATTAATTTCAGCAAGTGTTCCATATGAATCCCAATCAATGAAGGCAGTCGCTTTCCTTCTTCTGATGGCAGCTTCTTCTTCATCGATTAGTCTGTTAGGAAATAAACACGATTGATTCGATTTTTTTTTTCGATTTAAACACATTCTTGTTTCACTTACGATTGATAATTATTAATCACCAACTTAGTCTTCATTTTCAAGTTTTGTGAAATTTCATCAAAATGGGCATACATGTGTGGTGGTACAAGAATTTCAGCTTCGCCATTTAAAATTGCTGGTTCAAAAAAGTCATACTAAAAATTGACAGAATTTTAGAATTGACACATAAATCACTTAAAAGAGAAACAATTTACAGAGTCACTATGTTCTTCTAAATATTTCATGGCTTCATATTGATCTTGATTTTCAATTGATACACTATAGAGACGATAATTATCAAATCTAGCCTTTTCTGCTCCAGCAGAAAGGAAGAAAAAAGCCAAACAAATCAACAGCTTCATTATACCACAAATATATTCCAAGAGGCACAAACTTGAAACTAAAAGTTTTTAAATGACGGCTGTCACCTTTATAGGCACAGTGTTATCAATATTTCAAGAGCTGTGAGAGAACTTTGTTTTTAATTGATTGGTCTATTAAGCTCTCTCGACTTGATAAAGTTCGATTTCAATTAAAAAGTTTGAGGAATGATAAGATTTGAGGATTTGGTAAAATATATACACAAAAAGCTGTTTCGTCATTAGATTTTAACTCGATTCTATTTTTGATTTCTGTGTAGGAAAATCCAATTCTGATATCGAACCTTTTTTTTTACAATTCATTCATTTTTGCACTCCAGTATCAGGTTCTTGAAACTTTAAACTCAATTAATAAATAATGATACTGCATTGTTACCTTATGCAAAATTAATTCTCACACTTTACTTACCCATTCGTTAAAATACACAAAAATACAAATTGGATTCGCCCATCATACTCAGTTCCATTTGTTATGAATAAACATCTAAAATTATCTCAAAATGTTCATTTTGAGCAGCAAAAGAAAAGTTTTCAAAAAAAAAAAAATTAAATATTCATGAAGAATTTATGTTCAAAGCTTCTTCTTATGTTTCTACTTCCAACAGCACACAACAAAGTTTTTCACGTAATGACAAAACAATGCAGATGGAAAAAGTACCTAAAAATATTTTAATCAAATCAAAAATTGAATAAATTTCTCACTCAATAGCATTAAATATTCATATCATTCATCAAATTGTGTGAGCATAAACTACAATTGAGGCAGCACTGATTGATGGTAAAAGATGTAAATGAAAATACAGGATTGGAATGGAAATCTTTTTTTTGTGCGGCAATGGCTTGAGAATTCAATAAAAGAAATCGCAATGAAGGGAAGACATGAAATTTATAAAGCAAGATAAAATTTACATAATTTATGCTGTGCAGCATACTTTAATGCTTATGTGTTGTGTATATGTAAATCGATAAAATTGGCAACTTTTAAAGGAACGAAGGAGTCGGAAGAATTTTTTTTGGGTCTCTTTTAGTACTTTATTCCTTACTTTTTTTTCCTATTCAACATACCTTTTCACGCTAGTTATGGTAGATGTGCCAATGATATATGTACACATGTAGCATCGGTAATTTCATCACAGGATGATTCCTAACATTCAGTTTATTTGTTTAATATTATTTATTCTCAATTTACATCCGGTGTGGTAGATAAATTTTGTTATATAGCCCAACGTCCCCTGCATATTTCTTTTTATGTGTGCAAGAAATCTTTTGATGCCGTGTTACATATGAAAATAATGTGTGGCTTTTTTATTCATTTTATGCTCCCCAACCTTTTTTGATATTTCGTAATATTGCAATTTAAAATGAAAGAAAAAAATGTAAGCGAGGGAAGTTACAGCTTATGTTATTGCTACTGATTCCATAGATGAATAAGAAAAATGTAAATATTTACTTTCATTTTACATGATAAAGAAAAAATATTTTTTATATTGCATATAGGATAAGGGGATCATCATATTCATAAAGGAAAAGAAATGAATGAAAATGAAAAGCGATAGTATCGGGGGAATTATGTTTGCTGATCCCATAAGTGCTGATTTTGTGTGTATGTCTATGTAGGTTCAAAAAGTTCTTAAAGTTTCGAGTAGGAAATTCCTTTCTTCTTCATTTCCCACAAAATATCCATTTCACAAGGAATATTTTCATGGATTTCTTTAGAGCTCAACAAACGGTGTCATTTTGTTGATTCCTTCTAAAATTTCATTTGTTTTTTACACTAAAATATAATAAAGCGCTGGCACAGTGAAAGATAATAGCAGGTGGCCGAAAAGTAAAAAGAAAAAAAAAACTTTGACTTTCTCAAGAGCATAAAAACTTGCTGCGTATATTTTGATAATAAACACAAAACCCAACAAAGTGTCACATCAGATGGTTGGAATGAGAAAAAGTTTTCGTTCCATTAAATAGAGTTTAAAATCTGTTCTACAACTCCTTATTATACACACAAAGAGAAAGTGACACATGTGCATTAAGAAGGTGCTTACATGATGTTTATTTTTGTACTCTTTTAGTAAAAAATTTACATTCCTTTCTTTTTTCTTTTTCGTTGTCTTGCGAATTTGATAGCTATAGCTATAATGATTATGTTAGTGAACATGATGTCGGTGATGAATATTTACTTTGGAAGTTTATAAACTTGAAAAGAAAGGAAGTAAATTATAAAGTTGGAGGTAGAAATTGAATTGAAATTGGTAAAATTTTAATAAAAGTCAAAAAGTTTATAATATATGGATGAAAGGCGTACGCAAAAAGTTTTAGAGACAGCGCAGCATGTGTAAAAATTGAAAAAAGAAGATAAATTTTCATTTACTGTCACGAATTTTCCAATTTCCAAAATTTATTTGTTAATTTAAAAATTCAAAATGATGGAACTAGGGAGAACAAAGCCATTAAACATAGCATATTGATTTTTATCATCGATAGCTAATCCAGAATCAACTGGGTCAACATCATATTTGAAATTTGAAAATTGGAACTATGCAGCATAATATTTCAAAATTGATGTCCGTATCTTAATTGTACAGATGTTTATGAAAGCTAATATGAATATTCGTATTCAAAAATGGAAATTTATGCCATTTTTATCATCCCCTAATTGACTTAAACATAATTTAATTTTATCGCCATCATTTTTTTTTTGGTTCATAAAATTAATTTTTTCTTCACCCGAAATTTTTTTTTATCAGCATTAAATTAATTAATTGAAATGGCTCAACAATATGTCTAGAAGAAGAAGCATTATGCATCTCAGGATATAAAAAAAATTGAGTTATTAGTCTACTTATTGTAGCAATAACACACCTAATGTTAATAATAAAAAAGTTGAATTTTCATTCATAAAATTTCATCGTTATATTTTGGGTAGAGATTGCATATCAAAGGAAGGAAGGATATATTAAGCATCAACATTTTATTTTGATTGAAATTCTCATTAAACTTTATTAGGTCGTACAGGAGAAAATATCAATGGCTTAAATATTCTTTCATGTAGAAGAAAGAAGCCGTTATGAGTGAGAAAAGAAATCAAAAAAAAAAATACTTCCGTTTCAGGCAGCTTTCTCCTTGCTCTGTAAATATGTATGTATATATTTTGGCACTAAAAATTTATGAAAGCAATAAAAAAATGTGAGCATGAAGGGAAGAAGAAGAAGCAGAATAGAGTAGCATGATGTTGTGCAACATCAAAATGACAAAGTTGATGAACAATAATGCTGTAAACTCCAAATAAGCAGGCACAAACACTTGGCAGGCACTTTCCGCTTTTATTTATGAAACAAGGAATAAAACGTTAAGCAGAGACAATACAAACAAGTTGGAAGTGTTTTATACATTTAAATATTTTATTATTTTTAAGAATATTCGCTTAATAAAAGTTTTCTTCTTGAATAAAGATTTCCAAACTTCTTCTGAGGGGGGTTTATGAGTAATGCTAAATGATTTATATGTTGAGAAGCGCAAGGCGTTTATTATTTATGGAATTTTGTTAGAATTATTCTATTGTAGACGAGGTATTACTGTATATGTCTTTTATAAAGGTATTGTTGGAATTTAAAGTGCCATATCATAAAGATTCGTATCTATTTTATATGGAAGGTTTTATTAAGATTGTCGGTGATGTCGGTTTTTTTGGTTGAGATTTTACGACACTTTTTTATTAACTACGAAAAGTTTTCTTCTCCTACACTAGTTTCGTCTCAATTCTTCTACATGATCCATCTTCGTTTGCATAACTGAGCGAAAATTTCATACATGACAGGAAAAAATTATTCATCATTGTAGAAAATTTCATCAGTCACACCCTATAATGGCATATAACACAAAATATATTCCTTTCAATTCGACATGCCGATGTGCTTACACGCCTCTCCTCTACACCACAAAAATCTCAATCAATTTAACTTTGTGAAAAGTGAACGTGATTTCAATTGGAAATTTCTCTGCCAATATGCCAAGATGCGATATCCAACATAAAAATAATAGATATTTATCTGCATATAATTCCCCATCGTTTCCTTAATTTTTTATCTCTTCTTATTCATTTTATTACGAAATTTACGTAAATCCTGCGGATTGTCGAATTAATAAATAAGACGCAATTTGTTATTGCCTCGTGATTTGGAAATTCTTGCCTGCTTTCGCTTGACGATTGTTGAAGTTCATTCAATTGAACGGATGAAAAATCAATTCGCGTGCCTTCCTTTTTTTTCCTTCCTCATTTAATGGGTTCTTTTTAAGGATTTCTTGTTACCCTGACAGCATGCAAAGTGAAATGAAAAGGAAAAGTCTTATATCAAGCTATTACAAGAACGAAAAATGTATATGCGCGAGTTCTTTCCTAATGGTTTTTATTTTTTCGGTTGAAAGAGAAATTTTTCATATTTTTTTTCGATGCAGATGGAGTGAAAACTTTTCAAATAATCTAAAAAGTTTCTATAACTTTGGAATGAGTCGAAAAATGAAAAACAATTTCTTTTGGCATTTATGTGTATGATGATTCAAGAGAATCCTCATTAAATATTACATTTTTGGAAGATCCTGTTTCAAAAAATGTCCTGGATACTTCCATCATCCGGTGGCAAAGAAAAAAAAAACTTTATTCGTTCCTTTTTTGATTATGCAGGCTTTAAAGCGCCCTCGGGGGATCAATTCCATTCGAGAGTGAAAAGGGAAATAGAAATTGACAAAATGCGGGAACGAAAGAACGGTTCGAAATCATTGGGATTGATGGTGGAGTTGGGACTGAGAATTTTTTTAATTAATTAAATTTTTGATTAAAAATCTCGTACAGTAACTTAATTTTATAAATTTTGCATTTTTTACTCTCTTTACAGATATCCGTCTGTGATGATTACTCCCTGCCGCTCGACTTTGTAAAATTTAAAAGACCGTCCAGTTTTGACCCAGGTTTAGCAGAGTGTTTACCCAATAATTGGCCATCACCTTCCACTGAGCACGTAAGTTTATTATTCATGATGTTTAGCCATTTGTGAAGATTAAATGACAACGTGACAGCTGAATTATTGTTAAACATTCAAGTTTAATTTATTGAATGTTCAAATTGATACAAACGTTTGCTTTTATTAAGTGAAAATGTCATAATCGATTCTTTAAGATTCTTTTTTGTATATTCAAAAAACATTTAATACTTCCATCAATAAAATAAACTCAAAAGGAAAACATCAAAACACGTCTATCAAAAATATCCCTAAATGCTTTAAGATCCTGTCAATTACGACAAGTTTGATATAAATTTATCATGAGGAAAATTGTTCTTTTATATAAATCACAAAACCCTTTATATACAGCATAAAGTATCAACGAATTCATTAAATCCCATCATTATAAACTGTACTTGAGGATTTTAGATCCTTTTTTCAATAATGTGCTTGAATTAAAATGCAAAGGAAGAGAAGAGGAAAAAGGAGCAAAAGTTACGTAAAGTCCTTGAAGCTAAAAATGTTTGTAAACATGGAAATTCAGCATTTTCCATTTTCTTTACATTTCCTCTCTTACTGTCACTCAATATTAAAGAAAAACTTTTCCATCACATCACCGACAATAAACGCACAACTGTATCATTTTATGAAGTAAGTTCTAGAATAAAAAACATTCAAAAATATGGCAAAATATGTTAAAACTTACTTTCCATTTCCTTTCTCCTTCTCTTTGTTGGGGAATACAATACCTTTTATTCAATCCTCAATTTCATGACAAGAGCGCTTCTTATTTTAATTTCTCTATGCTTATCTTAATCCTCATGAATCTATCAGTCAAAATGAATGCTCAAGCAGCTTTTTTTCATCGAACTTTGCAAAATTGTTCAAAATACAATCAGACACAAAAATAGAAGAATTACTATCAATATGATGCCGATGATGATGATCAGTGGAGTGAGTAGGCATAAGGAATCACAGCAGCAATAATAATCTGATTCTATTCATATTGCCAAAAGGCGCTTACACACAACCCCTCACGTTGCTCAGGCTGCTGCCTGTTTATAAACATGAGAATAATTTGAGTGTCTTCTTATGTGGATGCTGCTCTTTCCACAAAATAATGAGAAAGGAAAAAAGGAAGGAATATATACATTTAATAGCATCGTTTATGAGTATCACAAGCACTACTTCATTATCTCCCTTCCTTGTTAATGCCAATCTGAGTGTGGAGAGGCAAAAGTATCGAGCAATTTTTTCAATTAAAATCTTTTATTTGCCTTATGGGTGCAATATTAACGGAAAGGGATCCCCTTTTCTCCTCTTGATTGCTACAGTTTATATTAAATAAAATCTCACGTCGACATCATCGTATGGTTCGTAAAGGAAGTGAGAAAAATACATAAATAATTCATTTTTCCATTGACTTGACGTATAAATAAAAATTATTTTTATTCATTTTGTTGTGGAATGATTTCATTTCCAATATTTCATCGACATTCCTTCCTGCCTGCATCAGCTTTTTTTATGCTTAAATGGCAATGTAAACAAAAGTAACCCCCAACTACATCATAGTAATAATGAATGTGAAGCTAAAAAATCAGCAGCAAGAGAGCGACGAAAAATCAAATTTTTTTCGATAATATTTAATGCGTAAACGATAAGCGACATAAAGTTCTATAGTATGAGAGGACCTCGAGGCCACGCACATTTTTTTTTGTGTGCAAAATTGATTTTCCTCATTTTTTTAGTACGCGCGTATGAATGTGATGTGATGGGGAATAATGTTGTGCTAGCAGCAGTATGGTGGATAAAAATATCATAATAATAAATAAAATGTTATATCGAATAATTGTAATCGCACAGGAAAAATCTGTGAACATAAAATATACATCATGCGTTCCCTATTGGCAATAATTCTCTCGCCCTCAAATCATAATACTGTATTTGGATGTAGGAGAATGCCTGATACTATGATTGTTGTTCGTGTGCTGGAGCTCGAATCAGGAAAGCATTTCTGTATTTAATTATTTTCGCTACAGGACAATAATGTCACATTGTTTTGTGAATAACACTTGGTTGCAAAGCTGTTTTGTTATTATGGCCACTCCACTAGCATTTGACTGCTGTAATAGTCATCATTTTGCAATTTTTTACCAGCAAAACAGATTTGTTCACCCTTCCACCCTTTCTGCTTCTTCTCAAACCTTACATTTCGCACTTGAATGCTTTTAAACGGCATAAATAATCATAAAAATGTTAAATTTAATCCTGTTCATGCAAAAAAAGTTAAGTCATATCGAGGTCTATTGTATCAAAAGTCGTTTATCATATTTTTTTGCCATTCAACTGACTTTCGTTTTGTGTTACATTTACGTTTCTCACACTTTTCATATTATTAATGGCAGCCCCTTTCTATATTTTCAATGCTTTTCTTCTTCATCACATTAGGTTACATTCTTAGATCAGCAGCAATATTTGTTACAACAAATCAACTTTCCACTAAATCAGCAGCAGCAATTTGATACTCAAAGTCGTGCATTAACTTTAGAACAACAGCAAGTTCTTCAACAACAGGAATTTGAAGAAGACCAAGACGAAGCACAAGGCTATATTGATGAAAGTGGCAATTTGTGTATTTTACAATTTGCCCCAGACACTTTAGACGAAACCGTTGGAGCCACAGCAAAACAATTTTCACGACACAGTACACGCGAAAAAACTCGATCGTCACAAAAGCGACGAAAAAAGAAAAAGTCAAAACAACATCAAGCAAAAGCAACAAAAGAGCTTGGTAAGTAAAAAAACATGTAAACAAATTTTTTGGGCTATAAAATGTGACATAGCAGTTAATCAATACTTGATGATTAAGAAGAAATAATATAAAGTTTTATGCTGATTGGTTCTTTCAGAATTAGATTAATAATTAATATTAAATTAAGTTTGTCACAAACCCTGAATTATATAATTATCTCTCTAATCAATAAAATTCATTATCAGAAAGTTTATTCTTCTTTCTATTGTTATTTAATCAACATAGACTCATCCGTGCCAAACTCATCCGAAAACGAAGAAGAAAGAATTGTTTTTGATGACGAAGGAAAAGTGCCAGAATTAAACTCACCCGATAGTATAAATGACGATGTTTTGAATCCTCTGAATAATTTCAAGAGTCCGAGACGATTATTAACAGCAGAGAGATCGAAAACAAGCCCGTCACCATATTATTATTCAGATTTGTTAAAGAAGAAAACGACTGAAGAAGAACGACGTCAATTGTTTCAATTACAGCACCCAAGAACCGCAGTTAATACATTAAAAGAGAAAGAAGGTGGAATTAAGAATAAGAAAAGTAATAGTTTAGATACTCCAGGTGCAGAAAAAGAAGTATCGACACCGAAACGTTATTCAATTACTGAGGACGGTGTTCGTATTATTCGTTGTGATTCTCCATCAAGTTCAACATCTGACGATTCCGATTGTTCTGAATGCCAAAAGAGACGTGAGTGGCATTCACATGCACTAGCAGTTGTACGAGCAGCAACACAAAATATACGGTCACAATCATTAACTATAGATGATGTCGAACCCGAGGTATATTATCAGAATACTATAGTATCGCAAATGCCTCAGAGTCGATTCATTGATAATCAAGCCATTTGTGCGTGTGCCACACCTAATTTTGGTGACGATGCTGATGATCAATTATTTCAACCGCGTAGTATATTTTATGTCCATCAACAGGGCTTTCAAGAATGTGCAGATTGCAGTATAACAGATGATGAACGTTTAAAAGCTTTAATATTTGACGAAATGAATGTGAGACAGCGAAAAATTTATGAAACAGCTTTCGATTCGAAAATTTCAAAATCTGATGATGACCTTGACGATGTTGATCGCATAACAAATCATTCAGCGAGCTTATTCGGGAATGAATATAGAATGGTAACAAGTCACAGTAAAGATAGTTTTATAGCTTCATCTGCAGTTCAACATCCGAAAGAGAAGCGTTATCGATCGAAGCACAATAAGAAGGCACAGCAAAATAATAATAACAATAACATAAATAATAACAATATTAATAATAACTGTAAGAGTGAGGAAGATATAATAGTAAAAGATATTGAGAATATAAAAATAGAAGAATCGATTGATAATATTGTGAATGCCAACATTACATCAACGTCGACAACCACAGCAAATACACAACAATATACACCTTCACCTCCATCAACTGCGCCTTTACCATTGAAATTTCCAACAAAACATGAAAAGTTCTTTATAAATAGCATCAAGAGTGCTCCAAACTTGCCAGCATCAAATGCATTACAACATCCACGACTAAAAGATTTGCGAGGTTCGCAGAAGAATGACGCCTCTAAAGAGCGTCCTCGATCGGTTATTGTTGAAGCAGGAAGAGTCTTTGAACTCAAACGAAGTCATTCAGGTCGCCATTATTCATCGTCGATTGAGAGTATGGCAACGTCAAGTAGTGGTGGCAGTATGGAGTCAATCAGGTCAAGTACTAGTGAAGGTGATCGTAGCACGACAAGTACAGAATCACGACATTCATCAACATTAAGTTCGCACAGCTCTGACTCTGGTCCCAGTGTAGCACGTCCATTGCGTGTTCCTGTTTTAATCCATCCAAAATTACAAATTCTCAGTCCGATATCTGATAAGTCAACGCAAGACCAAGTCTCAGAAAATTCTGAAAATAAAAATCAAACGCCGAAGCAACAAACACCGTGCGATGAAAATGGCGATAAAATACTTGATGACAACATTGATGTTAAGCAAAAGAAGCGCCCGACAGCAAGTAAAATATTGTTGATTGCGCGCGAGGAAATACAGGGCAGTGATAGTGGCATTTCATTACACTCACGACACGAAAAGGCAAAACTAAGTGCATTATGTGATAATAAGATTGATAATGCAACTGGATTGCCGCAGGATTTAAAGGATCTTCCATTTGATATGCCTAAATTAAGGAGACGAAGAGTTCAGCCACAGGTATGTGAAGAGTTGATAAAAATTTATGAAATTTTATAATAATATTATTTTCTTACAACAGAACTCAGGAGCATCAGGCAGTGCCACATCAGTTGATCTCGGAGAACTTCCATTTGACATGCCGAAATTGCGACGAAGATTGCGAGTCGGTGGTGTTAACCTCATATTACCCAGCAACATATCTCATAACTTAACAAATAATGCACTTAATTTAAGCAACAATAATAGTTTGAGTACAGACACAAGTGGTGTGTCTCAAGCATCCTCCAGTCAATCTGTAATACAGCAAGATGATCGACCAATAATTGGTAAGTTCGCCATATTAATACTCATTAATGTTTTTGGTGTAATAGTGCTAATGATAATGATAATGATGATGTTTCAACATACTGCAGTGTTAATGACATTTATATAAAAAATAAATGATGATAGAAATGATTTTCATTAAATTAATCAGGGATGGGGAAATCCCTCAAACAACAAAGCATTAATGAACATTTATCTGGTAAAACACTACAACCCTGCTTGACCCTCCCATAAATTCTTTCACAAAATAAAATATACAATCACCAAATGAAAATGAATGAAATGAAAAAAGAACGCAAAACAAGGCGTAGTAAATTCTAGCGAGGGATTGAAAAAAAAAATATTCAGCAATGCTAATCGTTTTAATATTAATTAAGAATCCGATTGTTTCGCAAAATGTGTGTTTTTTTATTCTCTAGTTTAGCTATTGTACTTAATGTGTTGGACATGACTTGAATTTACACTGCCTACAAAAAACATCGAAATTCATTAAAATTTCATTCACAATGCAAAATTTTGTAGAATTTACGCTCGATTCATGTTGATTTTTCCATTCTGTTTCCGACACTTTTTTTTTATTCAAACGAATAATCTAGTGTGGGAAGCAAACCGGACGGGATGAAACGAAATCCCTAGAAATTCTTCAGATAATATTGAATTATAGCATAAAAGCATTGCGGGAGTAAACAGATGCATCAGTAACCACAAAATACATGCACGACACAAAACTAAAAGTGTTTTTGGGGGATAAAAAATTTCAATCATGTCCCATGTGCAGTTAATGAACATTTCCTCTGTTCTCACTTAGAATTATGTCCCACTATTGTATTTTCTCATTCAATACTCATTATTTATGTATTTTCCATGCCAAAATCAATTTCTGTTGTGTTTCATGAAATACATAGATGTTAAGGCTCATTAAGGGTGAAAAAGTTTTTTTTATGTCTGCAGTGAAAGCTGCTCGAAATATTGAAGAAATTTTCTGTAGCTAAAAAGAATGTCGAAGGTTTAATAACAGTTCGTGAGGAGAAAAGAGTTTAGAAATTTGAACTTTATATAAACCTCCTTGTCAAGTCACGTTTCCTCTAGAAATTCGATTGCGATTTTTATTAAATGCCTTATACTGTAGATTCATATTAACTCAATTTATTGAAATTAGCTTATAAGTCTGATGGTGTAAAAAAGTTTCAATTGCACCGAGTCAAAATTCAATTCAATCCCTTGCACCAAGCACAACTTTTGGTCGTGCACATTTTTTTAATATGTTCATAAAACCTTGATAAATTTGATCCTTTCAACTTTTATTTTTCCCCTTCATTAGATTTTTTTGCTATTTGAATATCTACCATGTACCCAACTCTAATGCATAATTTAGTAGCTACAAACTTGTACATTGCTTATCAAACTGTCGTGGTTACTTAGTGGCGAACATTTTGCATTTTTTTCTATCGCATAATCCACAAAAGGGAGATTTGATGTGAAAGATACGAGAAAGGGAAGGTGAAATAGCAGTATTTAGGGCGCGCATGAGATTTTTTCCTCATCCAATCTTTTATATTAAAAATTTATGGAGCTCGTTTGAAGTTTTGTTTGTATTTTTTTTTTATAAAAAGTAAAATATAAGCTCTCGAAGTATAGGGAAGAGATTACAATATAAGTACAATACCAAACATGATGGGGGAAATTATACTTTTCTGCATTCATTCTTATCAAAACAAATTTTCATTCAATTTGCTAAGTAAATCGAAAAATAAATTGAAAATTTTTCATCTTTTTCCTCCCGCACACATTTTAATAATTTTTTTTTTCCAGGTGGGAGTCTCTTTAGACAGAATTTGACATTAAATTTGAATGATTCAAAACCGGCAAAAGTAAAGAAGCCATTTGGGACATTAGACTTGCATGGATTGTCAACTGCTAGTGGAAATTTGAGTAGCAGATCGTCTGCTGCCATTAGTTTCAACGTGGGTGGCTTTAATCGACTAAATATGGCACTAATTGATGATTCTATTTCACTCGAACGACAAGGGTAAGTACACAACATCATAATTCATGATTCACTTTTGCATAAATTTTATGCAAATATTTTAAAAATAAATAATCATTAAAAAATCTTTTTCGCATGGGGCGAACCATAATTAATTTTCATGTGTAATTGAATTTTAATTAAAAATTTTTCAAAAAATTGTCTAATGGAAATTTTTTTTGCCTCTTCTCTGTCGCTTCCAGCTGGTATCATGGTGCGATCACTCGAATAGATGCGGAAAATATTTTACGGCAATTGAACGAGGGAAGCTTCCTAGTGCGCAACAGTGAATCGGCAAAGCAAGATTATTCATTATCATTAAAGTGAGTATGAGACATTCCTTTGATATGATATTGGCAAATTTTTTATTGAAATTGAGAAAATTGTTGACATTTTTTTTTCTCTGAACGTTTTGAGTGCTGAAGTCATCTCTTTTGGATAGAAATATCAGCTTCATATGAATACAGAATTTTTACTTCAAAAGAACAGACTTTTAATATTTTCCCACCAGAATTCTTTTTTTTGAAAGCTCACATCCCAAAAAAGAACATAAATTTCAATAAAAAAATAGTCCAGAATCTCTTAAAAGAATCCCTTACAGTGTGAAAAATCTCTGCATAATCTTCCAAATAACTAATGCATACATTAAATATTTTTTTTTCTTTAAATCCACCCCAATAATAAAAAAAGGAGTGCTAAAGGCTTTATGCACATGAGAATCCAACAGAAGAATGATACAGCCGAGTATATCCTTGGTCAATTTAGTCGTCCCTTCAAATCCATACCAGAAATGATACGACATTTTTGCCTCAACCGATTGCCAGTACGTGGAGCCGAACACATGTGTCTTCTTGAGCCTGTCATCGCACAGTTGCTGTAAAATGTTTTTTATGCAAATTTATATATATTCACTATTCAAAATGCGAAAATTGTCGATTCCGGCTCTCATTAGGACATTGAGTTGGAGACAGACGATGCAGAAAAAAATGAAAAATCCGAGAAAAATAACTTGTTCATGCAAATAATGAAGTCAGCACAAAAATAGAGATTCAAAACTAGAATTTTTTTTATTATTATTATTCATCCTAGAACGAAGGATCTAGACGTCCTTCCATCTATTGCATATATTTGAAGATAAGTATTACATGGAAAAGAAGAAAAAAAATATCATAGAAAGGAAGTAAAGAAAGAAGTTATATTATACATATATAGAATTTTGTTTATTGAATAAGAATCAATTTTTATTAGATATGACTGACAATAAGGTATAAATAGCAAAACATGGCTATGAATGAGAATGGAAAAGGAAAAGGCACGAAAAAGTATGAGGAATTCAGGAAAAAGGAAACGAAAATTGTCTTGTGTTTCTTGATGTGTTTGTTTTTGATTGGATATGGGGATGCATTCACTAGTGATTACTTTGTTAATATGTTATTAAAGTTAATCGTAATTTGAATATTTAATATACCTAAGTTGGGTTAAGGATTTAACTTATTGAAACTTTGATCATGTTTACTGAGAATTCAAGTTCTAGTTAGTAAATAGCAAACTTTGATCCCTTAGTTGATTGATGTATGTTAAATTAATTAGTATAATTCATGAAAAAAATTCATTCACATTACTCTCAAAATCTCCCCATGTCATGTTGCTTTATTGTTTTAAGTATTTCCATTTATCTATGTATTCAAAGAAAATAAAATAAAATCAAAAAGAAAATTCAATTTATTATCAAGTCACACAGCATGAAAACCTAGAAAAAGCCAATAAGAAATCAACATAAATTTCCATTTCAAAGTTTTTTCTCCTTTCTTCTTTTGTTGCCTTATTTTCCTTACCTAATTCTTCTTGTATGTGTGTGAATGTTTGTTTAAAGTCTCCGTTCGACGGATGACTGGAACGCATTTAGATAAACATATTATATCACAGACATGTGATATAACTTTTGAATGAATGATTCTGTTGCTGAACAAGATATTTATTGAAACTTGAATATTAAGCATGATACGCAAAATTTTTCAATGATCTCAATTTTGTTCAATATCTCAGACAATGAAGAATCCACCCATTCAGTAAAAGTGAACAAATGACAACTTAATGTCTGTAAAAATGCGTTCAAAATGTTTGAAAAGAATGAAAAGTCATTATAGAAGTACCGAAAATATTTCAAAAAATAAATGAAAGAAAAAATCTCTCAATTTCCTACATTTTTCTTTCTGGATAATTTTAAGGAATGTTCTTGTCGGTGTCGTCATTTATCGCCAGTAAAACGAGAGATCCCTTTTTCAATTTTCCCTCCTTCTTTTATGTCTTAAATGAAGAAAAATATGTGATAGTAGAATTTAGAGTTTAAAAAGAATTCAAAAAAATAAGCGAATATAAAAAAAATTGAAGTGGTTTCCTAGAGACAAGTCAAATATCCAATAGGAAAATTGTTTTAATTGAAATTGTGTTTTCCTTATTTCTTAAAATATTCTTATCGTGATTTTGCCTTTTAATTTGTGCCAGACATCTTAAGAGATTCATTTACACACTTTTTCTTATTATTTTCTTTTTACTTTCAACTGGTCTCGCATTTTAATTAATAGAAAATTTCCATTCATTCCATCTTTTGAATAAGAAATTGCAATTATTTTGCCATTCAGCGTATTCCTCATTTTGCGTTTGAAAAAAATTATTTTAATTAGTAAAATGAGACGAATGAAAAGGAATCGGACAGCAAATAATAGTAATTTTTAAGGAAGTCAATAAATACAGGGACATGATGTGCAATTTTAATTTGAATTTGCTTTCATTTGCCAACGAACGTGCAATGTTTACATTATGTTAATTATTGAGGATATTATTTGATAGGATGTGGCACTGTGGTTGTAATATCTTCTGGAAAATTACAGACAACAACACAAAAATAAATATTCTTGAATCTGGCAGCAGATCTTTATAACATTTTCCTTAATAACCAAAATAAATATTATTGCTTGAAATTGAATGATTCTGAAATTACATCCATTATCTTCTGGCATGAACAATAAGAAATAAACGAACCTTTCACAAATTTTATGATAAACGTTTGTAACTTAAAAGGCTAATGACAAGCATTAGCTACTAAGCATCTAGCTGAAAATTATTTTTGACAAAATGAAATGATTTTTTTTTATAGATTGTGACAAGAAATAATGGTAAATGACATCAGAAATTTGAAATTATGCCATTAAAAATTTTCCTTGTTTTCCACAAGAATTTTCTTTTATATCCTCAAGAATATTCATTAATGTCACTCGACTTGAAAAGTTCATGTCATAAGGAATTTTCTTTTTCTTTACTGAAATTTGGAGCAGCAAATGGCCGCAAGAAGATTAAGACAATAAAAATTCTCTTGCAATAAAAGAAGCAATTTAAAATCATGAGAAGAAAATGATCTAAATTTCATAATGCTTTAAGATTTTATTGAAGAAATTTTTCCTCAATAATCTCTTTAGCAGACGATAACAACGAATTGTCACACCCTTAAAAAATATAAAAGTTTCTCCTTATTTTTTGATGTTACTTTTTTGTTTCCTTAAAAATGAAATTTAATTTAAGTTGATTAAAATAACTCAGATTTTTCTTGAAGAACATTAATTCAATTTTAAATCCATGCATTTTTCTCTTTGAATGTAAATATTTTTAAGGCAAGAATGAAATGATGATGATTAATTGTATACCGAGCCCTCCCCTGCATGTAACCAACCACTTCTTCTTCTTCTTTACCCTTCCAAAATCGGAATAAAAAAATGTTCACTTATATTAAGAAATCTCCCCTTTATAGAAAATTTCTCTGCATTTATTTCATTTACTCATTCATTTGACTCACTGTGAATCACGATCATAATAAAAATCAAAATCTTATTAGATGAGAAAATGAGATCAAATTAAGAAAATTTATGAAAAATTTGGTCGCAATTAAATAGAGAAGAAGTGAGAATTAAAAGAATGAAGAAAATATTTTAAGATGAGAAAAATGCGAAAAAATATTAAGAAAAAAAAATTTGTCTTGCGATGTAATGAAGCATTTCACATTACATTCGAGTATGTCAACTTGAAGGCGCATGATACTTAATTGTTATTTTGTGTGTTTACTGAAAGAATAAGAAAAAAAATAAACTATTTCGTGCAAAAGAAGTGAAATGCGAAGGATTAATTTGATATTCCCATTCCCATAACACAATACATATATATAGAATAGTCATGCATATATATATATTTGTTTAACGACTAATTAAAGATAATTTATTATTCATTATTGTGTACAGAGAAAGAAAAATGAGGAAAATTAAATAAAAAAAAAGAAAATATACAGACACACTTAGAACTATATATATTTTGAGGTGACACATATATACACATAGTTCACCTTATGTAATTGTGAGAAGAAATGAATTAACAGATAAAGATGAGTAGAGACAAATGACACAAAAATGTAACCATAGAATTTCTATAATGAGCTGAAGTAGCAGATGAAATTAATGAGAAATTATTATTATTGTAATATTGAAGGAAAGAAAAACTCATGCATATTCTGTAACTTTTGAGACATCACTTAGTGAATGATCAATAAAAATTTAATTATGCAAAAAAAAAATAATTAATTATCTGTGTATGAACTCATAAATTTTATTTCAGATATAATCTGCGTATTTATTGGAGGAAAAGTTTTTTGACTTGTTGCCATGGTTTTGACAGGTTTATACACTATTTCTGTAAGTTATACCAACTGTGCTAGATTAGCTTTACGAATTACTGGTCATCATTTGTGAACGACTCTAGCGAATGAAAAATCTGATGAAAACATTTCCTGAAAAATGAAGGATTGACATGGCATACATAAAGAGTCGTTTATTTTCAAACAACATTCAACTTTTGAGGACAAGGAATGTCTGTTGCTGTTAGAATTTAAACAGAGGAGCAGTTGGTGTGAAAATCTTAATTTTAATATATTCAAAATTTAATTTTCAGATGAATTTTTAACTTAAAATTTTTTCTTTATTCAATACAAAGCTTTGCGAAGCTAAGACTAAGGTCAATGAATTTGAGTCATTGAGTTTTTTTTCAACGATAATTGAATTCGATATCCAATTCTCAAGAAATTAAATTAAATCTTCAGATCTTTTTTCATGCTGCTGTAGAAGTTGAAATAAAAAAAAATCTCAAATTTATTTTGAATCTTTTCACAAAATTGATTTTATTTGCCTTAAAAATTTTATTTTATATTTTTTTTTTTTTTTTTTTTTTAAACTTTTTATTTATTTACATTTAATTTTAAGTATGTACAAAGTTTCTATACATTTTGTTGCTTTTTGTTTTAAGGTTTCAGGCATTCAATTTGCCTTTTGTCTCTTAATTTTGATTTCATTTACGGATTTTACTTTCTTTTGTATTTCATTTGATTTATTCGGTGTTTTGAGATGCAAGACGACTGTTGAAGTTCGCTTGCAACTTTCCGACGTAGTCTTCGATGGACGGTATTTTCGCTTCTGTATGAAGATCGGTGATCCTTTCATATCTTGTTTTATTGAGAACAATTCTCAAGAATTTGTTTTGCAGTACTTGAAGTTTTTGAAGATGGGTTTTTGCCATGCTTCCAAACGCTGGACAACCATATGTGAATATTGGTCTGATGGCTAGCTTGTAGATGAGAAGTTTGTTTCGTACGTCGAGTTGTGAGTTCCTGCTGATGAGCGGATAAAGCTGTCTTAATGCGGTGTGAGCCCTATTGGTCACATACTCCACATGCGGCTTTAATGTCACTCTCTTGTCGATCACCATTCCCAGATATTTAGCTTCTGTTTCCCATTTGATGTTTTCGTTGAGAAATTTGATGTTATTTCCTGGTAGTTGCCTGGAGTGCCTGTTTGTGATGAATAAGGCTTGAGTCTTCTGTTTGTTGAGGTTGATCTTCCATTTGTTCATGTATTGTTGAACTTTTCTTCCTGTGTGCTGTAGATGTGTCACAATATCGGCCGAGTTCTCTGCAGAATGATACAGTGCTGTATCATCTGCGAAAAGACCGATGTTGTTGGTTGTCTCTCTTACAACATCATACGTGAAGATGTTGTAGAGAGTTGGTGAAAGCACTGCTCCTTGTGGCACTCCGAATTTGATTACCTTGATTTCTGAGAACTGACCTTTAATAAAAACTGCAAAAGATCTTTCACTGAGGAAAGATCTTACAGTTTTTATAAGTGGCAGTGGAAATCTCAGTTTGAGCATTTTGTACAAGAGTCCGTTATGCCAGACTCTGTCAAATGCTTTTTCTACATCCAGGAAGATCATGCCTGTTGACTTTTTGTTGTTTAAGTTTTCTTTTGCTGATTTGATCACTTTGATGAGCTGGTGAGATGTTGATCTTCCAGTCCGGAAGCCGCACTGCTGGTTTGGGATGATGTTGTTATCCTCAAGATGATCGTTGATTCTATTCAGTAATACTCTCTCCAGTATTTTGCTTATTGAGCTGAGTAGACTTATTGGCCTGTAGCTGCTTAGCTCATTTGCTGGTTTTCCAGGTTTTGGAATAGGAATCACTTTTGCATGTTTCCAAACTTTGGGGAAGTGGTTGAGTTTCAGACACGAATTGATGATGAATTTCAAGTATTCGAAACCTTTTTCAGGAAGATTTTTGATGAGTATGTTGTTGACTTCATCTAGTCCCGGAGCTTTTGGATTTTTCAGATTTCTTATGATGCTCACGATTTCGTTTACATCTGTTAGTTCTGGATTCTCATCATTGTCTTGTTCCAATGCTTCTTTGACTGTGTTGTTTACTTCCTGTGTATGTTGTGGATCGTTTTGTTCCAGAGGATTTTCGTGAGCTTCACGAAAATACTCGCTGAGTGCGCTGGCTTTTTCTTTGTTGGTGATGAACGTTTTACCCAGATTTGTCAATGGAGGCATTGTTTTTGAACCTTTTTTGCAAAATTTTGCTATTCTCCAAACTGTTTGGTTTGACGGTTGAATCTCTGAGAGACGCTTATTCCAGTTTTTGTTTTTGAGTTCTTTAATTTTCTCATTGATGACTCTCTGCAGATAATTCAATTCAGATTTGAGTTGATTATCTCTGCTTCTCTGCCATCTTCGACGAAGACTCCTTTTTGTATTGATTAGATCTTTAATCTCCGGTGTGAGTTTAGTTGATTCGAACTTGATCTTTTTCATTTTTACACTTGAGTTCCTCGCTTCCATGATGAGTTCAGAGAGAATCTTAATGTAATTCTCGATCTCATCTGTTGTATTGCAAGAATTTTCTCCAATGTTGTCTTCAATGCGGCGTGAAATTTGTGCTTTGAACTTTTTCCAGTTTGCGTTTTTGTAGTCATATCTGTAAACTGTATTTTCAGTTCTGTCGATTTTTGATGTTTTGATTTGGAAATACACAGCGCAGTGATCACTCATTGCCTCTGTGCATTGAAGTTCTGTTGTTTCGAGGTTGGAATTCGAGAGCATCAGGTCAATTGTTGACACTGATTTGTTTCGATCTTCTGGGTAGTACGTTGGCGAGTCAGGAAAGTAGATCATGAACTCTCCTGACATTTCCTGAAGAATATTTCCTGATTTATTTGCAACGTTGCAGTTCCATTCTCGATGTTTTGCATTGAAGTCTCCACAGATGTAGTAATTTCCTCTCAGATTTGTTATTTTGTTGATGTCATCTCTCAGATGTAGATCTATTTCCCCTCCTTTGCTTCCTCCTGGGAGATAGACTGAGAGGATGTGACAACTATCCGTGTCATTGATGAAGACTTTGATTCCAATGCATTCCATTAGTTTTGTGTTGTAGCTTGGTTGAAGCTGATGTTTTAGATTTCTTTTGACGATGATTGCAACACCACCCTTTGGTCTATCCACGCGATCCAATCGATGAATTACGTAGTCTGGATGCGAGTCAATTTTTGAGTTTGGTTTTAGGAATGTTTCTGAGATGCAAGCAACATCGACGTTTTGCTTGCTTAGGTAGTCGAGAAATGCTAACATTTTGTCAGTGAGGCCGTTAGCATTCCAGTAGAGGACGTTGATACTTTGTTGTCTACAATCCATTATTGTATGCGGTGTTTTTGGCACTTGAGCCGATTGCTTGGAGTATTTCGTCGATGAACTCTGGATTTTTGGCGATTAATTTGAGAAGCTCGCTGATAAGGTACTTGCACTTTGATTCCTCTATTTCTGAGATGTTTTTATCTCTTGTGCTGGTGCTTTGAGCTTGTTGATTAGTTGTTATGTTTCGATTCACTACCTCAACACTGAATGAAGGTTCTGGGAAGACTTCATTCGAGGTCTGACTTGTTGCACTGATGTCTTCTGAGTCCATAAGCTCAACATCTTGCTTTGGTTTTTGATGTTGCTTGTTATTAATGCGCTCGTTTTGCTTTTTTCTTTGATTCTTTTTCCAATGTTTTCCTCTTTCTTTATTGTTTTGTTGGTTGTTCAAGTTATTTTTATTTCCCTGATTTGAGGGTTTGTGATTTGGAGGAGGATTTGTGTTCCTTGGTTTGTGGTTGACTGGAACTTGTTTTTGATGAACAGGCTTTTGTGTACCAGATGTTGATGGTTCCATATACTCCTTTCTCCATTGAGGTTTTGGTGCATGTTGGACGTTTCTGGTTGATCTCTCAGGACGATGCGGTGTTGGAGGATTGTTTCTCCGTTGTCCATATGAATAATGGCCTGCTGTTTTGTTTTGATTTTGGTTGTTTCCATTCTGTGATTTTGATTTCCATTTTTCAATTATTTCTTGTCTGGTTTTACAACCTGTGAAAATTGCTGTATGTTTTTCACCGCAGAAGAAACATTTGAGTTTTCCGAGTGGAACCTTGTTGGTCTCTTTCGATATGTACTGGCACGTTTTCGAGTCATGTTGCTCAGAGCATCTGAAGCAAACGGACGGTTTGTTACAACCGTTTTGTCCATGACCAAACTGCAGACATTTCGAACATTGAGATGGTCCAGCTTGTCTATTTTTGTAGTCAGCCCATTTAATTTTGAAACTGCTGACAATTTTGATTTTTCTGAGAAATTCCAGGAAATTTCCACCTTGTTCTACATCTTTTTTGAAGTACACGAGGTAGTTCTGGTCGTCGTCTTGTTCGTGTCTTTTGTGTTTCATTGTCATTTTGACAATTTTTACTGGTGTGATTTTTACGGTTTGAAGTTCCTTCTCCAACTCACTGATTTCCATATCTGGGAGTCCATAGAGTACGTACTTCTTCAGTGGTTCTTGGCTGGAGTATGTGTGGAAGTGATGCTTTTTGTCTTTGAGTAGTTGGATGAATTTCTCGTAGTAGTCCCAACTCTCCGTTGTTACCGTTTTTGTTCCTTGTTTGCCCTTTTTGGTCTCAATTAAGAAACTTCCAGGTTGATTGTTTATTTCATTCGTCAATCTCTTGATTTCACCAGCTCCTCCTGTGCTGATGACAATTGGAGGTGGTTTTGATTTTTGTTGAGATTTGTTGTTGTTGCTTTCCGTGTTTACGGAAATTGTCTTTTGTTGCTCTGATGTTTTGCTGTTTTCTCCCCAGTACGAAGAAGTTGTCGATCTTTTTTTCTCCTGTTCTGGTGAACCAAATAGATACGGTACTCCAGAAGACGAAGCTTTCTTCACTGGTGGGAGTACGAACAGTGGTTTGTTCCCATCTTTTGGTTTGCTTTCGTTTGCTACTCTTTTTAAAAGAGCGGTGGGAACTATCACTTCTCGAGGGCGTTTTTCTGCTTTACTTGCTTCATTGAGAAACTTCTTTATTGATATTTGTTTTTTTGGTTTGAGATTTGTCATCTCAATGTCGGCTGCTTGTGAAACATCTTCACTGAAAATTTCCTCAATATTGAGAATTGTCACTGAAGATGAATGTTGTTGTTGAGAACTATTAAGTCCATGCTGATTTTGAGAAAGATTTTCTTCGTTGTTGGTAGTTTTTGGTGATGCTACCATTTTGATGTTTTGAGAATCAAACTGAGATTTTGAAACTTTTTGCAAACAAAAAGCTTCTCAGGTAGTCTCTGTTTTGTTTCTTTTGAGATTTTTGAATAATTTGCGGAGCGATTTGTAAACACGTCTATTCACGTTGAGATCTAGTTTGCAACTGAATTTTATTTTATAAATAATTTAAATAACGACTTGAAAATGTGAGAAAAACTGTATATCTGCTATGAAAAATCAAAAAGAGATGTCACGAAAGAAATTCATTTCCCTTTTTTGTAGATTAATGTGTAGTAGTTGATTGCTATTTACTATTATTATTCTTGATGTTGTATGCATTTTGCAGTGAGATGTAGTACTGCTTAATTTCTTCATTTACATAATGAACATTGGCAACTATTAATTATAGTTGCAATGACTATGAAAAATTATGGTATATTCAATTCATACTTATCGCATGACTATGTGCGATAAATTGAATTTCAAAATAAAATATAATGTTTATTTTTCTTCGTTCTATTTGTCTTTTAATTAAAAATTAATTAACGTCTAAATTCCTTAAGTTGACGTAAATTCATCCATGCATCTTAAAGCAAAGATTGTAATTGAGTAATATAAATAATTTGTGTATTTTTTGAATGATACGAGAGAGAAAAGTTAAAAGAAAAAGCCAAGAGCCAACAACACACGAAGGATGGCAGTTTGTGTGCATTAGTAAAATAAAATTGATTGAATTTGTAAGCTGATTTCTTAATTTAGAAGCATTTTCTGTGGACAATGCCTGGGCCAGATTCGTCATATTCTTGCTTGCTGATCCACATTTGTTGGAAGGTTGAGAGTGATGCCAAGATTGAACCTCCGATCCAGACGGAGTATTTACGTTCTGGTGGAGCAATGATCTTAATCTTGATGGTTGATGGAGCCAAGGCAGTAATTTCTTTTTGCATACGATCAGCAATACCTGGATACATTGTGGTACCTCCAGAAAGAACAGTGTTGGCATACAAGTCCTTACGGATATCAACATCACACTTCATGATTGATTGATAGACAGTCTCGTGGATACCACATGATTCCATACCCAAGAATGATGGTTGGAAAAGAGCTTCTGGACAACGGAAACGTTCGTTACCGATTGTGATAACTTGTCCATCAGGCAATTCATATGACTTCTCGAGTGAAGTTGAAGCAGCAGCTGTTGCCATTTCTTGTTCAAAATCCAAGGCAACATAGCACAACTTTTCCTTAATATCACGAACGATTTCACGTTCAGCTGTGGTTGTGAATGAGTATCCACGTTCAGTAAGGATCTTCATTAAATAGTCAGTCAAGTCACGACCAGCCAAGTCAAGACGGAGGATGGCATGTGGAAGAGCATAACCTTCATAAATTGGAACAGTGTGTGAAACACCATCTCCAGAGTCCAAAACAATACCTGTGGTACGACCGGAAGCGTAGAGTGAAAGAACAGCTTGGATTGCAACATACATAGCTGGTGAGTTGAATGTTTCAAACATGATTTGTGTCATCTTCTCGCGATTGGCTTTTGGATTCAATGGAGCTTCTGTGAGTAAAACTGGATGTTCTTCTGGTGCAACACGGAGTTCATTGTAGAAAGTGTGATGCCAGATCTTTTCCATATCATCCCAGTTGGTAATGATGCCGTGTTCAATTGGGTATTTCAATGTGAGGATACCACGTTTGCTTTGTGCCTCATCACCGACATATGAATCCTTTTGACCCATACCAACCATCACACCTTGATGACGTGGACGTCCAACAATTGATGGGAAGACAGCACGTGGTGCATCATCTCCAGCAAAACCGGCCTTGCACATTCCTGATCCATTGTCAACAACGAGTGCTCCAGCGTCTTCGTCACACATTTTGAATTAATTTAAAGTTCTATAAAGGAATGGGAAATTGAAACGAAAATTGAGTTGGATTACACAAAGAAATTTGTCCGTAAAGTCAAATAAAAGCCTTTTGCTGTCATTTCCGATTGACATTAATTTAATTTACAAACACAAAGAAAGGAAACACTTGAAATATTAATGCTAAGCGATAATCCACGAAAATTCCTTTCTAATCTCTAGACTTTCATCCATAAATCACTCTGAATTGGACATTTAGATGAATAAATTTTTTTCCTTATGTTTCGTGCTACACATTATTATTATTCTTTTTCTTTTCACAAACTTTCTTTTCTTTTCTATTCTGTTCGCTTAGTTTATCACAAAAGGCAGTTACATATTCTTTCCTTATATTTATTTGGTAATAATTTTTTATAAGCAACAAACTCACATTAATCAGCAAGAAGAATTGAAATCGCGAATTGTAAATGCCACAAAGCGCAAAACTACAATGCTTAGTTAATTCAAATTTGCCAGGACTTTTATAGGGGATTCATGAGGCTCTAATTGAAGAAATTCTCTCATTCTCACTAAAACAATCAAAAATTAAAAGCTATAAAATTTTTAGACAGCATAAATTTCTGTCAAAGTATTCAAAATGTGAAAAATGCAAAAAAATTGAGAGCAAAGATGCAAGGAAGTCTGAGTTAATTAATAAAAGCAGTGAGTGTATAAGAATCGCAATATGTTACATTCTCAAATAGCGGTTTTTGTGTATTTATTGTAATGATTCCTCCGAGAGTCATATGCTGCATCTTATGAGAAGAGTAGAAAAGAAGAAATTGAAAAAGTTTAGTTTTCCCAATATTTTTGCAATACATCGTTCTTTTCCAAGCTGTGGTCGTTTGCTGACTACTGTGGTCTATGGTAATTTAATTATATTAGCATATTGATCACCTCTGAACTTTAATGATATTATGTTGTAACACAGTAGCTTCCTAACTTGATTCTCAGAATAGTGAATATGCCAAAAAAAGAGACCATCTCATCATCAATAAATCATTTACAACACAAAACTTGTCTAGACGACTGTTGATCAGAATTGAATTGAATTCCCAAAACGGTTTCATTCCCTTGATTTAATCTTTTTATTTCAATTTATAAAAAAAGCAGAGAAAAATTCTTTATAGACATGTACTGTTGTATATTCATTTTTCGTATAGAAAAAAAAAATACAAAACCTACAAAACAGCAGTAGCAACACCAACATCAGCATTGAAGAAAGAATCTTAAAAATTCATGAGTTAGAGGGGAAAGACTGAACATGTGTGTTGTTGCTAATGAAAACATGGATTGCTCGTTGTTACTGATATTGTCTCCTGCTACTGCAATGTATAAATTTTTTGCAACAATTCGTGAGGTATAATAAATTGTCGATGAATGCATGCTGCAACCGCCCCTGACATCGACGCATAAATCCTCACATTTTCAATTTCAATTCACAAATCTTTTCTCTTTTCTTTCTTCAATTATTCTTTTTCATTCTTCTTTTATTAAGCATATATAAATGTGAGGTTGTCAAGATGTGTAAGATCTATGAAGATAGATGACAATTCTCCCAGACAATTTGTAGAGAGTCAACAGCAAGTAAGAGTAAAGTACAAAAAAAAAATTTAATTAGAGGGATTTTGATTTTAACTGCACCTCCTTAAATGGATCGATGGTTATAAATATTTTATGAAAATAATTTTCCTCTCTCTTTTGTGCATTCAGAGAAAATTGCAATACATGCTTAATTTACCAACATGTATGCAGAACAATAGAAATAAATGAATTTTTTACACATGTTGTAATTTATTCGAGCGACATTAAAATTTCGATATGAGAGACGACAATAAAATAAAATGATATTTTTTGTGTTCTAGTGATCAAACCATTTAAGGACACTCGACATAGTAGACGGCACATATAAAAAAAATATTTGAATTGATGTCTAGCTAGCTATTTTTAATATGTTTGACATGTGAGATAAATTGAGAATTTTTTTTTGTCATGACGATGATGATTAGAATGTAACCTGGCTTCATTAATGCACAAACAATGTTGTTGAATTTATTCGCTCACACTTTTTCATTACAAAAATTTTCATATTTTGTTGAGTTTAGATTACGAATGGCGTTGATTAATGTTTTGGACTCATTTGTAACACAAATTTTATAGCTACTCGGTAATTTCCCCAACACGATAGAATATTCTATAAACTCATTATTCAACTTAGTAATTAATGATTGTGATGCTAAACTTGTTGAATAATTCCCAATAAATAAAATCAAGAGGACGTCATTTAATGATTCTATGGAAACGAAAAAACAGAAATTAAATCGGGGTTCGTGGGTTGCTAATCAAATATATAAAAGTACCATTTACAGCTAGATCAAAGTTCCTATCTTCAAAAATAAATTCATCTCCACCAAAAATAAAATTTGATTTAATTTCGTTTTGTTGAAAAATAGTTTGCACAATTTTGGCGCATCCATCCTAAAAATAAGGTAATGATGTGATTTTTATAAATACTTCAATTTGATGAAAATGACATGTGACAAAACCTGTGCATTGCATGTCTCTCCACCTGTTGATGTTACTATTACTTTTGTGCTGAACATTCTCCTTAAATTTTCGTCAATGAATTCTATTGTCTGATTCCTTCTTTCAATTTTTGGAACTATAAATTTAAGTTGGAACGTTATTATTTTTTTCACAAGCTGTGACTACATTAATGATCCTAAAACACATATGCCTGAAAACTTACTGTTATTATGCAAATCACAGCATTCTTTCAACTTTCCAAAACTTCCATCTTGAGCAGTTGTTGATATTAAATTATTGTGATTAAAGGCAGTAAAAGTATAGTCAATGAGTCTCATGTCTTGTTTTTGTTTAATAAACTGACAATATGCTGATTGTTGTTTGTTGTTGACTTCATAATCTTTCGTTGGAGACTGTACAAAGCTTATTGATATAGCTTTGTTATTATAGCATGTTATTTTATCACTTTCACATGTTGTCTCGCCTTCACGTTCAAATCCTCTTCCTTCAAAAATCGTCCCATCAAGTGCTATAATAAAATTCTCACGTATGTCGTCATATTCCGGATATGCATACTGTTGTTGTTCATTTATAAATTCAATACATGATTCCTCTGTATCGCATTGACTTGTGACTGTAGTGAGGAGAATTATTTTATTTACAGGTGAAATTAATTTGTATTTCCCAGTAATGGGAAATGAATCATTGGTTTTCCAATCATTTCGTTTTATGATTTTATGGTTGATGACAGGCTCTGATGTAGTATCATATGGCGTTGTAGATTTAATTATTTCAGCTGTTGTTGTTGATGAGAATCCTTCATGCTGTTCATTTTTCAACGTATCGAAAATTAAAAATGATATTCCACCAATTAGAATCAAAAAGAGACAAATTATTGGTATGAGAAGTGCTTTTTTCTTTAATAATTTAAAGAATTTATGTTCATCAACTGACATATATTTTAATGGGATTTCCTCGAAATTTACTTTATTTGTTATTATTTCATTTACGGCTTCAGATACTGGCTTATCAATGTCAATGTCCTTCTTCTCATTTGCTAAATTATTTTTAAATTGTACATAAATAGTGATAAGAACGTTTATCTGTAAATGTAATACAAATTACCTCCAACTATCACAACTTTATCAAACCGTAAATTGTACTGTATATTATTCTGTTGTTTCAATTCACTTTCGAGACTTGCTGTCGCTGCTTGTCTCTGATTTTTACGATACACATGAGCTTGAACTTCTAACTCTGCAAAATCACTTGGTACTGTTGATTCAGTAAACATTGAGATAGAATCAAAAGACTCATAATATGGATCTATTTGTACAATCGGCGATAGTGCGTTTGAGTCAATTTGAGATGTGTTGTTGTTAAAATTATTCTCAGAAATTTGATCCAAAAATTTTCTATGATAACAATCATCTTCATCGTGTGTAATTGAAGGATTATCTGCTGATAAATTATTCATTTTGACCTTAAGTTCCACTTCAAAATTGAGTATTTATTTATTAATGAAAAATCACGAAAGAACTTTTATCACTGGGATTTTTTTTCGATCAAAAATGATTTAAAAGTTGTTTCTTCATCGATAAGTCAATCAATACTGATCATCAAAATATAAAATTTTAATGTGTGATTACAATCAATGCTGTAAAAAAACTATTACAGATAAATTCACTAAGCACCTTACATGATAATATTGGAAATGTTTATAAAACTATTTACAGTATTAACGACTTGCAAAACATGTGTGGAATTTGTAGTTCCGTACAACTTATCATAAAAACTTATAATTGTATTATGCATCCAATATCAATAGATGTTCTATAGCTACATATAAGGCACTATTGTTATGATTTTATCTTTTCTTTTTATTATAGATAAACACTAATATTAAGCATGTGGAAGTGGTTGAAACCAGCAAGAACTTTTATTTGATAACGCATTTTCTTTTATGAGCTTTGATATGTTTTGCTTAATTAATTGGTTTTTAAACAATACCTAGATTTTCTGGAAGATGCAAGCATGCTACCTGAAATATTGTTTATTTCCATTTTCACATTCGTTGCTTACTTAAAAGGAAATTCTGACGAATAACTACAAAATTTTACTGCTCATAATGTGCTAACAAGCATATTCCTTTAATAAAGGTTTGTTTCATGTAATTGGAACGGATTATTCAATAAAAAGAAAATTTTACCCCACAAAATGTTCAATTATGCTATAAAAATTAATAACAAAAGTTTTAATTGGAAATTACACTTTGATTAGCTTTATTAATTTTGGGATTTTAGGTTAATCAGAATATTTTCGATTAAAACAAAATGTTCCAATGAATTATTTACAGATCACGAATTGGATTGCTCAACAAATTCTTTTTCTATAAAGTGTTAAAAAGATGCATGACTTTTGCTACAAACAAGAACGTCTTTAGTGGATGATTCTTAATTTATAGCAATGAAAAGAATAAAATAAGTTTTTGAACAATACGGTTTTTAGAAGAATTGTGAAATATCAATCATATGGTTTGGGATAAAGATGTAAAATATAATGGCAAATTTATTTACCATAATAAAATTCCTTCTGTGTAATAAGTTCTGGATGCTTAACTTTATTGCTTTGCTTTTATTTCACTCAGTTTAGTGCTCATTTTATTATCGTTACTTCATCCAGATTGAAATTTCAATTCATATTTCTTCACTATATGAAGATACACAAATGTCATTGAACAGTCTGCATGCAAAAATAAACAGAATGGAAACTCTTATGAATCCAACGGAATTGAATGAAAAAAGTTTTGAAAGAAAATTTCTAAAGAAAAATTTATATTCTATATCTATGTTTCTCAATAGAACGTAATTGCAGTATACTGATTGAAACTAGTTGTTGCATTTATTTCCATTTTCATTTACCCTCACTACATTTCAATATAAAGAGAAGAGTAAACGTAATCATGTCGATATGAAGTGAATGAGACATTTGTTGCTATAAAAAATTTAAATATAAAATGTTTCAGCACATAAAATGACTTTGATTCTAATTTTGAAATCAAAATAGTTTACTATCATTGATTTCATTCACCGCCTTGAGCATATTTGCTCATATGCATGCATGCATGCCCATTCCAAAAGTACCAAAACGTGAGGAATAAAAAAAATCTAATAAATTTTTAATGTCTATAACAATTTCCATTTGAATTGAAACAAAGCAGAGAGCTGAATGAAAAAAAGAAGAGTTTTTTTAGATAAAGGAACAACATGCTGCATAATATTTATTTATGAGAGATCGTCACATAAAAATGCGCAATTTGCATATCAAAAAAATTATATTCAGCAGCAAAAACTCAACAATGTGGTGCACAACTACACAACATTATGTTATGGAATTGAGAAATAGAGTTGATTTTGCGGAAGTGGAGTATGAGAATGGGTGGAGAGAAATATCATGTGGATATTAAAACATTAAAAAGAAGAAGAAATGTGCAGGCACATACACAAATTCAAGCACCACTGCTGCTGCCGATGATGACGATTATTATAATAATGTTGAGTGTTGAAATTGCATTTTAGGAGTGAATTTTTATATTTTTTCATTTTTTAGGGTAAATATATTTTACGGAACAAATGTGGCATTGAGGACCTTCAGGCATAGACCCTGTTATACTAAATTGTTTCTAATTCACAAAATTTGATTTTTGCTTGTATGATTAATTTTTAATATTCTCTGCACGCAGTTTGAGAGAAGCTGAAACACAGTATCCATGCTTTACATGGGTCGCATGAGTTTTCATACAACAATATCATAATTATATGTTGAAGTGAGATTAAAAAGGAAGAAAATTCTTCAGACACCATCTGCTTGATGGATTTTCTTTTGCTTACAGATTCCAACAATGTCGCATCGAAAAACTTCACTTAATGAAATTTAATTACGATATTCAACGCATCGTCATTAAATATTCATCAACTTTAACAGCTTCATCATCATCACCATCATCGGAACGAGAAAATTTTCTTTTTTACTCATCTTGCTGCAAAAATGAATCGCATTCTATAAAAATATTTGCACAGTGCAGTGGTGACAAAACGACGAATAAAGAAAAAGAAGAAGCAATAGAAGAGATGAATTATTAATAGAGGAATTAATAAACATGAAAATAAATGAATTTTTACAAGCATTATTTGCATTCATGCCGTTATGTCATGCCTTTAGCATTTTCATACACATTTAGGAAAGCGCTTTGTGGTTTAAATTAATTATCTTACAGAGCATGGTGTGAAAATTAAGTGATAAAGCTGCTTGTTTATGTCAATGAATTTGATGTTATGTTATTTTAATGCATGAAGCTTTTTGAAATAAATGAAAGCATTGAGAATGCGAAGCCTATGATTCTCAGAGCATTTGTTTCGGCTTTTTGGGTAAATCTACACGAAAGTACTTCAGAGGAAGAGCATTTGAGGGAATTATGTTCGATTTGATTTGATCTCATTTGATTTATTGCTGTCATAAAGTGCTCAGTCGTTTTCGCAAAGCTTAATAAGAGGATACTTTAGTAACACTTCTCAAGAAAGCTTAGTTTAGAATAATAGAGGAATTGAGGCTGAAATGATTTATTTTGGATTTATAGATTTGGGATAGTGATAAAAAGTTGAATAACGTAAGAAAATCAAAGCGTTTTAACTTACGCTTCACTTAACATGTCCTTTTGTGTTCTTTGTGACTTTTAAGAAAAGGTATAATAAAGCATAAAAATCTTTATGGGGAAGTTGAAGCTTTCATTTTAGTCATGTACAAAAAAAAAGCTGGTAATGTGAATCATGCCATTGACACGATGATAAACAAAGGATTTACATTTGAACACTTTGTGTTTGAAGAACTATGTTTAACTATAGAGGAACATTTTTGATGCCTTTGATGGTTTCATTCTGGATATTCAATTTCAATTTTGAATTTCTTAAACTTTTTTTTTTAAGGAAAAATTCTTAAATTGATTGTGAAAAATCAAAAGAAAATTAAAGGACTTAAAACTTTATGAGACCATGAAACTTGAGTTTGCTTAAAATCTGATTCAATTAAATTTCTTTTCTTAGATTTTTCAAGAATAATGATTTTGATGTATAATTAATGTAATCTCGTCAGAATTGTTGTAAAGCATGATTGAATAGAAAAATACTTGTGGCTCGATTAACGAAATGAAAAACTCTCTAAGCATTATTTTCTTTTCCTTTGAAGTCTTATTTTATTCCCTTTTAATCTTAATTTAAAAAATTCTTATGTAATGATAGAAATAATTTTTCTTAAAAAAGTGTTGTTCAATCTATGATCTCATTTTAAAACGTCAAAACGTGTCGGAGTTGTTGTTGATCTTATGGGTTTTTCTGGGGAGTATTCTCATCACTTTCGCCTTATTAATTTCATGCTCTTCATGTAGATAAAGTTGTGCATATGTACTATTTTATATACTTATTTACTTTGATTCATTATTTATGCAATATTTCATTTATTTAATTTATTTGTTTCAAAAAAGTTTAAAACATTATCAAGAAATAAAAAGTAAGCAAAAAACGTCATTAAAACCTATTTATGTTTATATATTTTGAGAGAATGAAAGAACTAATAAAAAATTCTGACTATTTCTTTAAAATATTTCTTCTAATATTGAAGAAGGGCAGTATCTAACTTTAGCTTCCATAAGCTGAAGTATTAAGCTAGCATCCAAATAATCAATCAAATATTTATCATTTGGATTCATTTAACCTCAAAAGTTTTCAGACTAGCTATTTTTCAGCCTTGGCACTAAAGATATATTCTATTTATGGGAGTTGGGCAGTGAAAATATATTCAAGTTGTTGTCCTGAAAAATATTTATAGTAGTAGTTGTTGCTGTTATTATTGCTGCTTGCTGTTCTTAGCATCTCTTAACACACACCAGCCAAAGAAAAGTAAAGAAAAAAGGCAGTTTATACATAACTTATTTATGTGAACAAAAACCTTATTATAGAGAAAGCGCCAAAATATTTCAAATAAAGAATAAAATATAGATAGAATGAAAATAAAATCAAACAAACTGAATTCTAAGAAATAATAAAAAAATTGAAAAAATATTAGAGTTATTATTACGTAGTACGATGTTATTTGGTTATCTGTTTACAGAATAATTTTCATGTCTTACTAAAAGACTTCCAAAAAACAAAGAGATTGATTTGTTTGATTTAAAATTAAAAAAAGTTTTAATTTGATGTTGTAGTTGTTGATATTGATATTTTATCCTTCCTTAAAAACGTATGTGTGATATCATATGAAAATTATGTGATTTTTTTTTTGCAGAGTAATAAAAAGAAAGTCGGATGATTCTGGGCTCGTTCGTTGATTGTTCGTCGTTATAAAGTAAATGTTTCGCTGATAAACATAATTGTATTAATAAATTATGAATTTCAGTTAATTTAGAAACATTTTCTGTGAACAATTCCTGGGCCAGATTCATCATATTCTTGTTTGCTGATCCACATTGTCTGGAAGGTTGAGAGTGATGCCAAGATTGAACCTCCGATCCAGACGGAGTATTTACGTTCTGGTGGAGCAATGATCTTGATCTTAATTGTTGATGGGGCGAGTGATGTGATTTCCTTTTGCATACGATCAGCAATACCTGGATACATTGTGGTACCTCCTGACAAGACTGAGTTGGCATACAAGTCCTTACGGATATCAACATCGCACTTCATGATTGAATTGTAAACTGTTTCGTGGACACCGCATGATTCCATACCCAAGAATGATGGTTGGAAAAGAGCTTCTGGACAACGGAAACGTTCGTTACCGATTGTGATAACTTGTCCATCAGGCAATTCATATGACTTCTCGAGTGATGTTGAAGCTGAGGCTGTTTGCATTTCCTGCTCAAAGTCCAAGGCAACATAGCACAATTTCTCCTTAATATCACGAACGATTTCACGTTCAGCTGTAGTTGTGAATGAGTATCCACGTTCAGTTAAGATTTTCATGAGGTAATCAGTCAAATCGCGACCAGCTAAGTCCAAACGAGTGATGGCATGGGGAAGAGCATAACCTTCATAAATTGGAACAGTGTGTGAAACACCATCTCCAGAGTCCAAAACAATACCAGTGGTACGACCGGAAGCGTAGAGTGAGAGAACAGCTTGGATTGCAACATATCTGGAAAGCGAGACAGGAATGTAAACATGAGTTGATGATTAAGATATAAAATTTCACGTAGATAAGGATAAGAGATCATAAAAATAACTTACACAGCTGGGGCAGCAAATGTCTCAAACATAATTTGTGTCATCTTCTCACGGTTGGTCTTTGGATTTAATGGGGCTTCTGTGAGTAAGACTGGATGTTCTTCTGGTGCAACACGGAGTTCATTGTAGAAAGTGTGATGCCAGATCTTTTCCATATCATCCCAGTTGGTAATGATACCGTGTTCAATTGGGTATTTCAGTGTGAGGATACCACGTTTGCTTTGTGCTTCATCACCAACATAGGCATCCTTTTGACCCATACCAACCATCACACCTTGATGGCGTGGACGTCCAACAATGGATGGAAAGACAGCACGTGGTGCATCATCTCCAGCAAAACCAGCTTTGCACATTCCTGATCCATTGTCAATGACAAGTGCTCCTGCATCATCATCACACATTTTGGCTGTTTGTTATTATTTGTTCTAGATTTTTAAGGAATGAAATTTAGGTTAAAATTTATCTTTTTTTACTGGGTTTTGAGAACAAAATTGAGACATGATGGCGGAACAAAATTAAATCAAAATACTCGAGATTCTGACTTTTACTGTTTTGCTTTTATATAAGCAATGAAAGTTGTTTTATTGAGTCAATTCTTTTAGTGCTATATTCTTTTTTCTTGCCATGTCTGGTTATATCATCGAAATCATTCAGAAGTTTTACACATGTAAGAAAATTTGAGAAAATTGCTGAGTAGAATTATCATTAAATAAAATTTATATTAATAAGTGTGACTAGACGTAAAAATGTCTTCCTGCTTTCATAATTATTATGCCCATTAGGACATCCGATTATTATTGTCATGCAGAACATTTATCTTGGCTATTAACGCACAAAATAATTTTTTCCTGATCTTAACATCCTCTTAAAGGCAATAATCTTCTTTCTTCTGATTTATCCTGACTAATCCTTAGACCAAATAGTTCGGTTCCATTAATGATAATAAAACTATTAAGTCATTAAGTCAATAAACTATTTCCCGCTTGAATTCCTTTGCCTAAATTTAGTAACATTGAGACGATTACGAATTGATGAATTTCAGCGTTAATCTAAATTTAAAATTTTTTGTAATTCTATTTTCTTTTCTCTCTCACACTTTCGATTGTGTCAACGTCTCGAACTGAATATGTCAATTATCGAATGTGCATTTTAGATTATTTATGAGATTGACTTATAAGGAAATTTCTAAATATATCATGTGATTTGATCGCATCCTCTTCTTTTACAAATATTAAAAATTTGTTCGAAGTAATTTCTAAGTCCTTAAAACTTTTTCTTCTGTTTCCACATAATAAATTTGAGTTTTTTCTTCTATGAATTAATCCACTTAAATCCTTGAAATTATTTCCTGTTGTCGGCAAAACTTTTATTTTCTTAATTCTTTAACATTTCTCTTTTCGAGATTAGTTTAATCTTCTTTATGATGAAATGTCTGTTTTTTTTCGTCTCCAAAACATTTTCCATGTGCTTCATTACGTAATTTTGAATTTTATCAATTTTTTAGTTCCAATTCTTTCATCTCATGAAAAATGTTGGTTCAAATGACTTTAGTCAGTAGGAAATAGTCCTTTTTAGGTCATTCACAGAATTTTTCACTCAATTTTAACTTAATTTCTTTTTTAAATATTTAATAATCCACCAAAAATTCAGTCCTTTTCCATTTTTTGTCCTTAATATTTTTTCATGTCTCAATTCTTTTTCATATATGTATCATAGCACTTAATAAGAGAATTTTTTCACGAACCCTTTTACAACAGAAAAACTATAAAATATAAATTAAAGAAGAATGAAGTGTCCCGGGCGCTTCACTGATTCTTAATGTTTAATGCTGGTCCTAAGCTGGTTACTAAGCTTGTAACAAAGTGAACACCTCAAATTTATTCGTTTTCACTTTATATATGGTGGAATGATCGCGAAGCCGAAACCATTACATTCAAATTCATAGAAATGCGTTCCTTCTAAGGATCGATTGCATGTGTAATGTCTTCAACATTTCGCTATTCTGTCTTTATACTTTGTTGTGGGCTTGTTCGGGTGTTTCAAATGCACATGGTGTGCGATTTTTTTATCACAGACACGAAACACCCGAAAAATCTTTATTCAGTTTTGTGCATTAATGTGTGAAATTCATTGTATTGTTGCGTCGTCATGATAATAAAAGAAGAGAGAGAATTCACGAATTGGAAAGCGATCATTCAGTTGGTCCATGAGAATAATTTTTCATTTCTTTTTAAAAGGAAATTTTCCTGCGTCATCATTAACAATTGAATAATGATAAGTCATAACACATCTGCCTTGCTTGATGCCAATTTTCCTTTTTCGGTAAGAAACAAATTTTTCGCTATTTTAGTTAATTGCATTTAAATTAGATTTTTATTCTTAATTTTTCATCTTCATTTGTGTGTAATTTTCGGCATGAGTATTTGCACACACATTGATTAACGGCGCTAATCAATCACGTTCTTCATAGTAGTAAACCATTCTCTTATTTTTAAATCCATTTTATTACATTCGTGAATGAATGAATTAGATTTTCCGATAAATGGAATGCTCTAAGGAATTTCTGAATGTAAATAAAATCATGAGTACATAATGTGAATAACTGAATGTGATTAGTCGATTAATTAATTAGCTTTAAAACTCATTAATTTTCTTTTATTATGCATTAACGCCATTTTATTTTAATTACAGACGTTTCTGTAAAGTGCTTTAGAATTTTAATTGGTGTGTCAATAAAAATTAAATATTTTACTACTCATAAGTACTTCAACATGCTTTAAAATTGCAATATATGCGACATGCGGCATGCAAAGAAAATTAAGACTCTTTGAAAATTAACGGTTTCAAAATATTCAAACTCAAAGGGTGACTTCTTATCAAAGCATTATTGGCGATTCAAAAAAAGTGAATTAACGATATCTTACAATAATTAACTCATTATCGTTGTTGATTATAATCAGGCTCATACATTCTATAATGTAAACACTATTGCATTAGTTAAAAAATTGAATAAATGGCACATCAGAATACAATACCTAAATGAATTAAATCATCAAAGTATCGTTTGTCAAAATTTTGAAAGTTTTTTTGTAATATAATTTCTTTAAATTTGTCTGCAGGTATGTTATTTGACATTTAAAAGTACGGATTTTAAGGTTTTCTGCTCAACGGAAAAATTAATTTGAATTTAACACTAATACTATCTTACTAATCCAATCAAAACACCAAAAAATTATTTCTTAAAAATCTCAATAATGCAATAACCAATCACGAAACTTAAGATTTAAACAGGTAAAACATTTGATACTAAAGCTATTCTCTCTATTTTGCAAGCTTTAGCATCTGTATTGAGTGATATTTTCATGACTTTTTAAATTTCATTTTCATTTTTGTTTGTAAACAAATTACAACCGAAAAATTCAAAAAATTTAAAACCGTTAAAACATTTTGAGTTAATCTTGAAGCAACTATGAACTTTTATAACAAATTTACACATTAAAGGATAGAGATTTAAGTTCTTTATTTAAAAAATAACATTAGCACTTGTCACTCTGAAGGATAAGGAGGAATTCAAGAAATAAAAAGCGTCACTTTTTCCGTTATTTTTAAAAAATTTGAATAAAAAAAATGGGAAAGATTAACGGGGCATTCAGCTATTAGTCAGAAAGAAATTTTCAGTGAACTAGACGAGTCGATGTTCTTCGTTTAAAAAAGTAAATTTGATTTTTCGTGTCTGATTTATCAGCATTGGAAATTTGAGCAGCAGTAATCGAAGGAAAATAGTATATTTTAGTGAATTGTAACAATAGAAAGCAGGGAAAAGTGCTTCAGAGTACACTTTCTAGAAAATCATAAAGTATAGATCGTTTTCAAGGTCCTTTTATGACTTTAATTCATATAATAGAAGGTAAATTTCATTAATTATCATGTTTTTGTCAAAAATCAGTCGTCCAAATTGCAATTTTCATAGATTGGAATGTTCCTGAAATTTTTTTCAATCGATTTTAATGCGCATAATCAAAAACTTTAAAAATCCATTAAACATTTCTTATTTATTGTAATTTATTGCCATTATTATGAAACTGTCTGTCGCTAAACTGATTTTTGCCAACTCATTAACGTTATCGCACTATCTACATGCTCAGATTTCGAATGAAATACAAACAGCCATAAAATTTTCAATAGAGAAAATGATAGAAATAAAAAGAAAAGTTCAGGCTGTAATATGTATGCATGTATGGTAGAGAGCGAGAACGATGAAAAAACGTGTCTCACGTAATTCTAAATAACCAAAAATAGGCAAGAAATACCAAAATTATTATCATTATCACTCAATTGCAGAAAGCTTCGATCAGCTAGTATTTCGCTACAATCTTACCGATTCGAAACAGTGCATGATTTCAGAGCCATCAAATCAGTTGAGTCATAGGTAAGAAATACATGACGTCCGCAAATTATATTTCATTCTCTATTTTTTTTTTCTCATGATCCAGGACTTCAAAATTTTCAAGCAATAGACATCGGAAATTGCAACCATTTAGAAAAACGCCGTGAATCAGTTCGGTCGCGAATTGAGGGGATCTAAACAAATTCAAAGTATATCCCTATCAACGAGTGCATAATCAAAGAAAAAAAAAAAATCAAAATTCTTTTTGTTGTGGAATTGTCATATTGAAATCTTATATTTTTCCTTAAATTTAATCCATTTCTGAGTTTTATCCAAAAAGTTGTAAAGCTACACATCCATTATCAATCACCTTCTTTAGTTATTTTAATTTTGAATTTTCCACCCCCAAAATCTATCTTTCTCTTTGACCACAAATGATTTTTGTCAAAAATCGCCACAATAAGTTACAGTCGACGAATCAACAGCTTTTCAATAGTAGGATTGAACTAAAGACATAAGATATTCTAAGTCTATCTCGCTATATTTGTTTGCAACTCAAACTCCATATCAACAAGAATTAAAAACAAACATACAAAACTGAGGAAGTGAATTGAGGTTTGAAGACATTTTTGCTATAAAGAATTGCTCAATTTGATTGCCTGGATTGAAAGGCAAGTAAAACAAAAGGAAATCTTTTCATGATTTGACAAGGCTGCAGTGAAATCTTTCTGCAAGTTGTAGTCAATCACAAGCACTGCACACAAAATTTTTGAAGGTAAAATTCTCACTGCTTTTCAAATAAATTGAATTTTAATCCATGCTGTAATCCAATTTTCAGCTTTTAATGCACTTACGCAAATATATCTGAAATATAGATACGACATCAAGTCACCGAAGCAAAAAAAAAAGAGAAATTATCGACCAATAAATAAAATCAAGAAGAAATTTCGTACATCAGTTAATTACTAAAGGCAACATCATGGGGACTTTAAATGTCAATCGTAATGTTACTGACCTTTATTATCGCTATAAAATGCCCCGAATTTTGGCCAAAGTTGAGGGTAAAGGAAATGGAATTAAAACTGTCATCGTTAACATGGCAGAAGTTGCAAAGGCATTAAATCGCCCAGCAACATATCCAACAAAATATTTTGGATGTGAACTTGGAGCTCAAACTCAGTTTGATCATAAAAATGAGCGTTTTATCGTCAATGGATCGCATGATGCAACTAAATTGCAAGACTTGCTTGATGGATTCATTCGAAAGTATGTCTTGTGTCCAGAATGTGACAATCCTGAAACGGACTTAACTGTTGTCGCTAAAAAGGAAATAATTTCGCAAAGTTGTAAGGCTTGCGGTTATCATGGATTGATAAAAGTTCAGCATAAAGTAAATACTTTTATTTTGAAAAATCCACCAACACAAAATCCAGCTCAGCAAGGTGCATCCTTGACTGAAGGTAAGCGCTCTAAACGCTCCAAGAAGGCTGATGGCAGTGATTCTCAAAATACTAATGGCGATCAATCAAAGGATTCTGATGATTTTAATAACAGTAAAGTCTCGGTAAGTTGTCTGCTACTTATTTGTCAAATAACATGTTTATTAAATTGATAACTTTAGGGAAATAACGATGACGATGATGATGATGCTCAGTGGGCAACAGAAGTAAGTGAAGAGGCAGTACGTGCTCGTATGCAGGATTTGTCAGAAGGTGCAAAGAATATCACCATTTCTGAGGATACTGAAAAGACCGAAAAGCAACGTATGGACATATTTTATGAGTATGTCAAGAAACGACGTGATGCTGGCGATTTGGATAATATTCAAATGCATAAGGAAGTGCATAATGAAGCTAAACGCTTGGAAGTTAATCAAAAAGCTCCATTAATTCTTGCCGAATTGCTTTTCTCTGCTAATTTAGTCAGTGACATTAAAAAGCATCGTGGCTTATTGTTGCGTTTCACTCACGAAGATGAAAAAGCCCAGAAATATTTATTGGGTGGTGTTGAGCAAGTTATTGCATTGCATGCTGCAAAGCTCATGGATAAAGTTGCAATTATATTAAAATTATTTTACGATACAGACTTATTGGATGAGAAAATCATTTTGGATTGGGCATCTAAAGTTAGCAAGAAATATGTATCAAAGGAAGTTGCAGCACAGATTCATGATAAGGCAGCACCATTCATTAAATGGTTGAAAGAAGCTGAAGAGGAATCTGAAGATTCTGAAGACGATGATGATATTGTTGGATTCGATGATCGTGCTAAAATGGATTTATTAAAGAACAACGTTGTTAAACCGACAACTAAGCCTGTAGTTCAGGACGATGATGATGGAGAAGAGCTTGACATTGATGATATTTAAATATATGGCATATTTTTTTTTCTTCTTTCAATTATTTACACATGCATATTATACAAACTTTATTATTATTTGTCGGTTAATATCAATATACTGGATTATTAATTATTCTTATTTCTGTTTCATGAATTATTTTCTGCTTTTTATGCAGTCATTATTTGAACTGATTGGAATATACATTTTGTCCATTTCTTATTAATTATTTTATGTTTTGTGGAGAAAATAAGTCATACATGTTGAAAATTGAGGATTGATGAAAATTGTTTATTGGAGTAATCTGGATACAATAAAAAAACATATTTGGAAGCATAGAAAATAGTTCTTTCTCTTATAGTTCGACTGGAAGCATTGATAATGCCTGATCGACGTGACTTTTTGTGATAGTTTTCTTCTTGTTCTGTGCTGCATACCCAAATGCTTCTTTTGCCAACGTTTTGATAAACATTTCTGTTGTTTTCGTTATCAGATAGACTGCTTCGCCTGAAATTGGTAGTTGCTAGTAACGAGATCTTTGTGATCCAGTGAAAATAGTGCTTACCATTAACAAGTTTTACTTCTGGATCTAATTTAATTATATGCTTGATTTTTGCCAATGGCAGGTTTGTAATTCTGTCTTGATTGTTGGATTTTACAGCTTTCTTCTTACTGACATCCTCTGTTGTGTCTAAAACCAGTTGAAATTATTATTATTATTATTTATTTATTGTGATTCAATTTGTTTGTTTACCTTTTTCCATTTCATCTAAATCCTCATTTTCCTCTGTTTCCATTACATCTTCTACCTCTGGATGGTCGATTTCTGTCTCTAAATCTACAGTTTCCTGATTAATTTCAGTCTCATGGTCTTCAGATTCTTTAATTAATTCATCATTTATTTGTGTTTCATAATCTTCAGAATTTGTCACTATATCGTTTGTATTCTTATCAATAGCTATATCATCACTTTGCATCAAGTCCTCTGTATTGAATAGTTCCATTGAATGCACAACATCTTCATTCGTTTCACTCATTTTTAATTAATTTATTGTTCCTTGTTTTCCTTAAAATATCATAAAAATTCAGTTATGCTAAAATTTTGAAACTTTCCCGCGAGTTTTTAGCACAATATATGCTAAAAAATTCAAAAACCTTTTATTTCAACGACGTTAACAGCTCTTTTGTTTACATTTAAATTTTGATGATTTCTTGTTAATCAAAACTTAAACGAGACAACTGGAGACAACCACAAAGTGCCACAAAGTGCCACAAAGTTGAAAAATATCTTACAAATTCTACTGAATAAGATACTAGGTTCTTCCAGGGGTTCTTCTTATAAAACCCGATCGAAAAAATAAGAGTTGAAACAAAAGCGTTAAAAAGTAAACATGCTGAAAATGGAAGCAGATAAAGAAATATTAAATTTAAAGCCAATAACAGCTGAAATGAACATTCTGTCTAGGTCAGATGGAAGTGTCATTATCACGCAAGGTAAGCTACAATCGATTCATAGCATGTTGCTGCTGATTTATTGATAAATTTTAACTTTAGGTGATTCATCGTGTATTGTTAATGTAAATGGGCCGACTGAAGTTGTTTCTATGGCTAATATGGACATGAATAAAGCATATATGGAAGTATCGTATCGTCCAAGATGTGGAATTCCGGGCGTTAATGAGAGATACAAGGAGAAAATTATCAAAAATATCTGTGAAACAGTTATTTTAACAGCTCTTTATCCTAAAAGTCAAATAAACATCCAGATTCAAGAAATGGACGACGGATCAGGGGTAATGTTCAGCACATCCTTAACTTCATAATATGGTTTCTTAATTGTATTAATGTTTTAGATATTCGCTTGCGTGATAAATGCGTGTAATGTAGCTTTATTAAATAGTGGAATAGAAATGAGGAGCACAATGGCAGCAGTTCATTGTGTATTAGATGACAAGGATAATCTCATCATTGATCCAATAGATTATTCAGACGATACACCAACATTTTCAAGAATACAGAAAGCAGTGAGGAACTCAAAATACAAAGCAGATTTTACATTTGTCTTTGAAAGCTTAAAAGAATCGGTGATATCAGTTAATACAAATGGTAACTTCACAATCCATCAATATAACAATGCTCAAAAATTATGCAAGGAAGCAAGTAAAAAGATATTTGAATTTTATTGTGACTTAGCCAGGAAATATGCAAATGTAATCTAATAAAATGTTTTATGAACAATCAATAAGAATTGCCTTTACTTTCCATAAAATAAGTCCGACAAAGTAAGCAGCGGTAGTATGAAGAAGGTTCATTCAACTTTATAAAAATTTAAAAAATTCACTAATGATCTAAAAAATATGACAATTTATACCTAAAACACAAAGCACACGAGCAGATTGCGAATTCTTATCACATGATCTCTTTTAATCCACAAGAAAATGAAAAGGAAGCATTATTCTTTGGAAAGAATATACTTATAGTAAGTACTATTTCACATGACGACAACATGAATTGAATTGAAAAGGATTGAAGAGGAGGGAGAGGAACTGAAACAATAAAATTGCTAACTGGCATAACATGTTGCGTTTTTTGTATTTTTGCCGAAATCATCAGAAAGAAATCGTTAATCTTATGTAAAGCATATATTTACAGGCAACTGAACTGCAATCAAATGAGGAATAAAAACCCAGCCAAAGAATATTTTGCATTAATGCTTAGCCATTCGACATGTCTGTGCTAGTAATGAGAGGATTTTTGAAACTTTTCTGATCACTAAGTCAACTGTTTAAAATACTCCCACACATTAAGCAAGTGACAGTTTATAATAATTAATTAAATCTAGGTTTTAAATGTTTTTGAAAAAGTCGTTAATAGAGTTTTATTTGAAAAAATGAACAATTTAAGTTATCAAATTAATTAAATGACTAGATGTTTCTTAAACGCTTATTGGCACCTAACAAAATGTAACTTAATCCAAATAAGTTTGTATATCAGCGCTGTATCGTTTCTATATACATCGGAAGATAAGTCCTTAATTGACTAGTTCTGGCTCATATCGAAATTAATATATTGCGATGAATCCATAATTAGAGTATCTTTTGACAAACTAGATACTTTTCGGTTCATCGGTTTCTTTTCAATTTTAAAGTCCTGCTCACTACATGAAACATTTCCTAATATCTCTGTTTTGTCTGGTGAATCAAATTCCATTGGTTCCTTCTTAGGCATCACATTTACATGATTTGAGTCATTTTCTTCGGATCGGCAATTTTCGAGGATTTTGCTCTTTTTCTTGAATGTAAACAAATCATAATGTCTGAACTTCTCCTTAATTAAACTCTTTGTCTTTTTGGCAAGTCCAGCAGACTTTCTCTTGTTCTGCTTCTTCTCCGGCGATTTATATTGAGCCACCATTTCTTTTTTAATAATTAAATCATCCATATAATCAAGGAAGACAAAAAAATTCACAATTCACCGATCTTAACACATCAAAATCTTTTTTTAAATGAAAATATAACCAAAAATTCTTTGTTTACAAACATCAAAATCAAATCACCAAAAAAGTCACTTATTTAATCAATTTTGTATGTTTAAAGTATGTTCAAAGCTGGAAACTGAATTAAACGTCAATTAATGATAAATTAACGTAAGATTAAATGGCTAATTCTTGTGTTTTTTCCAATTTTGAATTAGGTTAGATTTCTACACTTCAAAAAGGAAGACAACACAAAATTCAAATTTAAAAAAACAGTTAAAAATCAACTTAATTTTTGGATGTAACGTGCTGAGTTATAGATAGATCATGTGTGCTATTACATCAATAATCAATGGAATTTTTTCTCCGTCCGAGCCCATTATTTTTTAAGAGGAGCAGGAAAAAAAAAATCTTTCAATATTCATCTCTTTATTCTTTGTTTAAATGAATTCTGGTAGCATTGAATGAAATTAACAATGGTCGTTTTACTGATGACATGGTTAACTTTTTTTATTCCTTTTTTTCCTTCCCTTCCACTCCAATTCGATATTTTCGATAAATATTGAGAGAGCGGCAATTCAATCGCTGTTCTTCATTCATGTTCGCAATTGAAGCATTTTTATGTATAAAAGTTTTAAAAATCAGATAAAAAATCATTGCGGCTTTTTTCATATATATCCATACATATATAAATGCTTGCTTGCTTGCTTTTCTTTTGTCTGAATAGAATCGTCTGATTAAGTACATATAAATAAAAGTCAATTTTATAAAATAAATCGAACAATAATCAAAACTGAAAAGCTCTGTGCTGCAATTTATTATTATAGAGCAAGAAATAAGAGAGATCCACTCTGCATCACATTTACATGCGATTGTCGATGCAATTGCCATCATTTGCATACATTTCAATGTGGTTATTAATTTTACTTTTTTAATTAGGTTGATAATGATATATTTATGTGGAATAATTAAAAATGTACAAACGTGTGCATGCATTATTATTTTATTTTTTATAAAAAATTTAATTGATATTTTTAACATTAGCTTGAATTTTTAATTTTGAAACTGTTTAAAATTGACAATTTAAACTTGAAAAATATTAAATTTGATTATTTAATGATTTCATAACTGCCTTAAATCCTCTGACAGTCTTATATATTGAAGTAAAACTATATGTAATTATGCCTAGTCCTAACCCGTCCAAAACAGTTCAAAAGATCTCGCGACTACTGGTTGATTAATTTCAATAAGTTTATAATTTTAAAATAACCTCAAAATTAACTTAAACTCTTGATTCTTCATAGTTTTAAGGATAGAACTACAAAACTATTGTTCCTCGTTTTTGTGGTTCGTTTTCTAATTGTTGGTGCAAACTGGAATCTAGGGTATCGATCGAATATGGAGGCACATATGGCAGTGCGATAGCAAGGTCTTTAAAGTCGAGTTGTTGGGTAATAGACTGGATATTTGTAATCCTATTTTGTTAAGGCGTGGGTTCGATTATTCATTTTAATAATTATCAAAAAAAAAAAAAAAAAAACTTAGCCCAATAAATTGTGCTTAGGGTTTGTGGAAAACAGCTGTTTTTTAAAAACAGTCTGTTTTCTGTTTTTGATTTGTAAAAACAGCTGTTTTCCTGTTTTTCTAGAATTCAAAATAAACTGAGTTATCCTAAGTGTTTCTTTAAGATAATGAAACTTTTTGGTGGTTATAAGCAGTTAAGCATACATTTTAGAGTTAAGCATTATTATTTCTTAATTTTTTTGTTATATAACTCTAAAAATATAATGAAATATAAAAATGTAAAGAAAACCAAACGAAAAAATATTTGTACTTTTAAGTAACATTGCATTGTTGAATTGTAAAAGTTTCATAAACTTTAATATTTTTTTGAAATTTTAATAAAAAAAATCATGTAAAAATGTTGATTAGATTTTTGAACTTTGGTAAATGTTACAAAAGATTGAACAAATTTAAAATTTTGATTGCAAACTTAATAATGATTAATCATAAATTTAACAATGATTTCAAACCTATTAAACATCCAAAAAATATTAAAATAGTAAATACATTTCAATTTGGAATGCTAGAAAAATATATAAAGTTCTTCAAAAAATTAAGATTTTTTTTTCTGTAAATTATATGTAAAAATGAAAAACAGAAAACAGATCTGTTTTTGAGACCTGTTTTCTGTTAACAGATTTTTGTCGAAAAACAGCTGTTTTTCTGTTTTCTGTTAATAGGTTCCCCAAACCCTAATTTGTGCTTATTAAAAAAATCATGCAAAAGCAAGCAAGCAAATCAATCTCGATCGAATTTTAATTTCCTAAAAGCTTTTGGATATCGAAAAACACGTATGTCGATCTCCAGAGCACTAAGAGAGCAAACAATAAAATTAATTTAATTAGGTTAATATTATATGTTTGGAAAGACCTCAATTTTTGATGTCAAAAATATTTTTGATTTATTTTGACAACTCACAAGAACTTGCCATACATACATTTTTTATGCATTTCACATTTCTCTTGCACATCAGAACATGCCGATCACAAAAAAGACAACAAAATTCGCATTTCACAATGAGAATTTTATTTTCTTTCTCTTCTATCCTCAAAATTTCTTTTCCTGTCTTTTTGTTTGCAAAGTGCACATTTTGAAAAACATAAACAATAAAAATAATTTATAAAATAAAAACTAGGACATTTGTAGAATTGACAGAAATATTGAAGCTTGTAAATGCGAAACCTCAAATTGACTTGACGAATCAAGCGAAATGAAAGCTGTCTTAAATATTTCACATTTGCACTTGCAGCTTTAATATGCTTGTGAATTGACGAAAACACATGATGTTCAGTATAGATTTTTATAACAGTTGCTTCCTTCCGAATGTATTATGTCATTTTCATATGTGCGATTTGCGAATTGTTTAATTCCGAATTATTTTTAAGGATATGGAAAATTATAAGTTATACGTTTTAAGGCATGAAAATTGCTTGCTTTATTTTTCTACACATGTCGAAAACCTTATAAAAACTGTCATTCACTGTTTACGTTGCGTAATGAGCAATGAGTATTGGACTTTTTTCAGTTTTAAACTGTTACAAAATCAGAGACACCCCCTCTCCCCATAAAAGTCAATGTAATCACGTAGGGATCGAAAATAACGGTCATTTTTCAAAAGAGAACAATGGATTTCCAGGAATTTCTATTGTTCTTTTCTTGCTGACCCCCCCCCCCCCCCCTGGGAAATTTGATTTTTTTTTAATCAAATGGTTCAGCTCCAGTGCTAGCATTGAAGGCTCTACTTGTTCATATATGAATTTGATTCGTTCAATTTTAGTTGTAAACTTTTGGACTGGAATTTCTTTTTTTGATGGAACAATAGTTAATAATATAATAATTTTTATTGTATTTTGAAGCTTTATAAGTTGGTTTACTTGTGTGTATCAGTGTGTATGGATGTCATATCTGTCTAATAACCGACTACCTTTCATGGACTATGGTTGAATAAAGAATTTACAAAAACTATTTCATCTAAACTTATTAAATCAAAGATTTGCTGGAAGTATTAAAAAATCATACGATTAAAATGAAATGATGCGGAGGAGAGTGGAATCTGTGGTATCCAGCAATATATAAGCGAATCTGTCATTGCTAGAGTTAAGCCTAAGTGGAAAAGTGGTTAGGCAAATGACTAGATATCTGAAGCACTCTTTTGTCAGGACGTGGATTCGAGTTCCACCAGAGACCAATCTCTTAATGATTATATGACAAAAATTCTCGATTAAGGTCAATTTAAAACATTACTATCATGCCATGACGAGACAGACTTTAATATAAATGTGTGAAGAGTCCAACCTTTTCAGCTGGAGTCAATGCGATTCAGACGCTAGTTATATACATAATTCAATAATTTTTCTAAGTATAGTCTTCTTTAACCACAAAATTCAATTACTTACCACATGTCATCAGATTATAATAAGGGGTAATAAGAGTTCGTGTAAAGAATTTAAATTTAATTCTATTTTTTTTAAAAAAGGATCTTGAATATCTTTTAAAAAAATTAATTAAAGTCAATGAATTGAATTCAAGTTATTATTAAGTTTGTCATAGCCAAAGTGAAACAATATTGATCATTTTGCAAATAGAACCCCCCAGAAAAGTTCACATCAAACGTTTCCCAAAACGAAGCAAAAGTTCTCACGATATTAATCCATCCAATAAAAATTTCAGAATATTATTCAATAAAAGAAACGTGCATTTATGTCAAGGAGATATTATTTAGTAAATTGAGATAATTATATGAATTATATCAACACGTTATTATACTAAACAATATACAAACATTGCCTCAAAGTGTAAAGGAGCATTTTATATGTGTATAAAAAATTTTACTGCCTCTCTCATCATCAAATTTTATAATATTATTAGAAGTATAATGCCTTGCTCCTTCATTATTTAATAATGATATTTATTTTGTGTGTTTTTTTATATGCCGTATATAAATGTATTGCAAAAACAAAAGTAGAACAATCATCAAATTTGCACCACCTTTGAAGTTTCAAATTATTTTTTTTGGCTTTTTTATCGTTTAAATTGGCCCTAATAAAAGGATGATGTTAACAAAGGTTGATTTCGATGCGGTTTTAGGTATAATTTTTTGCTCATTTTATTTCATCATTATACTCATTAAACTGTCATTTTTTGCACATTTATTAGTATTAATGATGATAACAATATTTTTTTCCATTCATTCATCGTTATTTCATGTATTTTTTTTTTCTTCTCCTTTTTTCCATACGATGAAATTTATATGAACCAATGAGAGAGAAAGATGGAGACAGAAAAATATATATTTTTTAATAAAATGATTAATAAATAAAATATTATTCAATTTATGATAGAATATGAAATATTTATGAAATTACTATGAGAATATATTTCGGTATTTTATTTTTGAAAAAAATAATGTGGAATGAAAAGTAAGAAAGGTCAGGTTTTTTAAAATATCGCGAATCGAGAACGCTTCCATATATTTATTGGAAGTAGTTA